AAATTGAATAAAAGGAGAATCATACATGTTTAGATAAATTGACATGAAAGTTAATTTTTGTTATTTTAATATACAGTTTAGAATACTATTTATTTATTTTTAACTTTGTAAGAAAAGTATTTTTGCATTTTAACATGATTTATTTTCCACAATTATGTTGTCAACCTTTAGTTATTAATCACCTGTGCTAAGTTTATGTAATAATTTAGTTATGTAAGTATATATAACTTTTACCTATGTAAGTAAAGTTTATGTAATAATTGGTTTTTAAAATCTTGAATATATAGGAGAAACAAAAAAAGTGCATTAAATATTGATATTGCTGATTGTTCATTATGACCCTTTAGTTAGAAATTTTGTGGAAAAAATTATCAAACTTAGCAAGTNTTTTTTTTTTTTTTTTTTTTTTTTTTTTTTTTTTTTTTTTGTAATAAATAATGTGTGCAAGCATTTTTCAAAGCATTTGTATTCACACATAACTATTAAATTTAAAATTTTGATGCTTAGAATGTATAAACTATTGTCAACTCAGTGTCATTTGACAGAAATTTTTAAACATTTTCTTCAAGTAGCTAAATTTAAGTCAATCTAATAGGTTAAAACTGTCGATAGACAAAATTCGCAATTTTTATACAAAAACAAGTTTGTTTTGAGGAAAGTTTTTCAGTGATTCTTATTTTACTATTGACTCTGAATTGTATGATTTCCTCAAGGGGTTTATCTTCTTCAGATAAACACGGGTTCCACCACCCCGAGGTACCCTAGTGATCTTTCTTTTTTCTATTTGTAATATTTAATTAGGAATATTTTGATATCTTTAGCTTGAGTTCACTTTGTTTTATTGAGCACAATGTAGTTAATTCAAGTTTCTGTGCTACTGAAATTTAAATTCAATTATTTGATATTTAATTTTTAACCGTATTTGATTTTTTTACTCATTTTGATACATTAAATGTAAAATAATCCAGAGTATATTGTGATATTTACATAAAATTAGTCTAATATGAAAACTCAAAATTTATGGAACATCAAATTTTTGAAATTTTATTTTGGAAATGATTCTCTGTATCATTATATATTTTTTGTTTTACATCTGATCTTTCAATAATTGCATAATTTTTAACTATAAAATTTTTGTTAGTTATAGAGTATAATTTTTATTCTTGATATTTATTTTTAATTTGTTTTTCTGAGATGTTTTTAGAGCTTTTTGAGGTCATTTGACATTAACAATTGACAATTGTTTATTTAAACTTTGATTGAACAAGTTCATAGGAGCCTAGTAGTAGTGACCTGTTGCTGATTTCTTTCCATTAATGATCTTTTTTCTTATGATCAATTCCTGCTGCTCAATCAGTGTAGTGGGTTGAGTCTTCTACCATACTCTTCAGTCTTGAGAAAAGATCACTGAATTAAAATCTAACCTCCAATTAATATTTATTTCCAATTTGTTTTAGAAATTAAGTTTTTTTTTCTTTTTTTCTTAAATTTTCTTTTTTCCTTCATAAAAAATTTAAACAATAATTTAGCGCAAAATAATTTCTGCTAAATTATTAAAAAAATATAAGATAATTTTTTAAGAAATGGAATTTACAGAAATAGAATATAACTTAATGATGATGAAGTGAAAAATAAGTAGAGATTTAAATAGTTTTACAACAAAATTTGTGGTGTAATTCCGAGATTGATGTAAAACGATATGAAGTTAGCTATTATTTGTGTCTGTTATAAAATAAGGAAAGTAAATGTATCTGTTTAGAAAAAGTTATCAAGTCATTGATAAAATATATTGGTATGTCATTCTCACGCAAAGTCAGCTAAAAATTTCTTAATTATGCTAGACAGTGTTAATTGGTCAAAAATAAGTTCAGTCTTAAAATTTTTTAGAGTGGCACCCATTTCCACGACTTTGGCTGGTGTTTATTTCCCCATGGCGAAAAGATGGATGTCTGATTGGATTGCACTATTTTTGATCGTGTCTTAATGATATAGAAATCATTCTAATGTAATGTTTTCGGCAGTTTCAGAGCCAGAAAAGCTTATGGGTGGCTTTGATTATGCTGTGCTAAAAAGTATGATCCGGAAACCAGTTGATTACTGCCACTTGTCCTTTGATCCAAATGGTAGTAGTGTAGTGTGCACATGTGTCAGTCAGTATTGTCGTCGCATTATTCATAAGGATGAATTCCAGACTCCTGTAACGTTAACTACCAAGTCAATTATTTTTCTGAAGTATTGAATGTTGTACCATTTTTTTATATTTCCGTTAGCTGTGCTTTGAATAGCCATTCATTTAATCATGCTTTTATGAACTCACTTAAGAAGTGTTTGGAAAGAAAAATGTAGTTAAAAAAAGAAAAACCTAAGAGAAAATTAATTATAAATACTAATGAACCTTAATGTTGATAATATTTAAAAAAGTGTCATGAGGCAGGATTCAAGCTTTGTTTTGGTTAAAATTCTATTAATTGTTTAATAGATTTTTTTCTAAGTAAAGCTTGTGTTTTAATCTTATTTTTATTTAAATATGCGTGGTACTAATTCTTTACATTAAATGAAAAGAAAGTGGAATAAAATAAATCTTTTGTTCATGAAAGAGAAAATCCAACTTATGTTTTTAATTGTATAAAAATTAATGTTAATTATAATTTACTTATATTTTTTTTTATTGAACTATGCAAGCTTTCATTTTTGTTTACCTTAAGTCTTATTATCTGGAAAAATCTATTTTCTGGATTTGCCAAAGTCCTAGTCATGGAACTTTCCACTGCACATGGGATAATAGACTAAACTAATTTAATTATAAACTTTGAATTTTGCTGTATTACAAAGTTAAATGTCTTCAAAGCACTGTCTGCTTTAAAATGACATAAATTCTTAATTGGATATTTATCATAATTATTAATTTTCACCCACAAAAAATTCTGCAATATTAATCTGGTTTAAGAGTTAGTTGATATTAATATAAATGTTTATTTGGTTTATTTCAAAGATTATTACAATGAACATATATTATCTTTAGGATCACTTGCAATAAATTCAATTTCCATATGTATTCTAGGTATATATTTCTAATGTATTAACTGAACCCTTTTCTTCACCGTAGCAAACTTTTTTGTCTAGCAACTAATTGTTTGGAAATTCTGTGACCTTGCTAAGCAACATACTTCACTTTGGTGATATGTGACTGACCAAATTTCTAATTAAACTGATTATTTGATCTAGTTCTAGTGTCACTAAGCTATAATATACTTACCAATCTCTAATACTAATTTCATTCTAAAAGAATTAGAATTTTATTTGAATTTTTAGGTTATTTTTAACTACCGTTTTCTGATTTCAAGGTTATAAAAACTAAATTTTTGAAGTAATGCTTAGATTTTTCTTAAATTTTCATTTTTTTTTAAATTGATGGGAGCAAAAGTCTATAACTTTAAAGTGTTGATTAAAAATGTAAGTAATGTTTTTATTAATGTAAGTATGTTTTTTATAGTAAACTTAAAATAATAAAAAAAATTATTTGAAAATATAAAAATAATAGTTCATGTGTCAGAGTTTGGCTTAAGTGGATCTACATATACCAGTATTTTCCTGCCTTTTTAAAATTGTAGTCTTTTTATTGAAAAAAGAAGGGGCTTGAGTTTAATGTTTATATTTTATTTTTCAAAGTTCACTTTAAACTAAAAGCATTAAACCACCTCTGGGTTTAAGATATCAGCTTTCAAAGCTGAAACCTTTAAATAAGTAAGAACTTCAATAGGAAAAAGGGGAAAAAAGTTTTCAGAATAGTGGCTGTGTTTATTTCAAGTAAGTTTGTCTTCCTGCTTGAAAATTCCTTTTTTCTGTTCTTAACTTAAAAAGTATGATTTTAATCCACAGTCTTCTCTGCGTATCACATACCGGTTTTTCCATGTTATTAGATAGGAAAGTAGTGTACTGTACAGGGGAGAAACATTCACCCAATTTTGCCCTTTTTCTAAACTGCCAATGGGTTAAATATTCTCATTTACTGTTTTTATATATGAGTGGGTTTTATAAATATATATTTGATTATTATTATATTATATGATTATTATTATATTTGATGATTATTATATTATATGATTTTTATTATATTATATGATTATTATTATATTATATTTGATGATTATTATATTGTATTTGATGATATAAGTCGGTTTTATAAAAGTGAACTATTTTTTTTCCTTTTAGGTAAGAAGATGTCTTCATACTGCTAAAAGCATACTTATAATTTATTTTCTCATTGTGTAGAATATTCCCTTTTTTTGTTTTTGAAGTTCTTTATTTTAACAATTGCTTTTATGTGTTATCAAAGATTTTTTTTATGAGAATTTTAAAGTCAAGTGATATGTGTTAACATGCTTTAAAAATCTATTGTCAGATTGCATTTACATTTCAAATAATGTTGAATAATTTTCAAAATACTATTACATAATAAATATTTATTTAAAATTAAATATATCATTTATGAAATTATTTTACTTATTATTAGTCATTTTTTTAAAAAAAATGCTTATCTTTTATACATATGTTTATATGATTTGAATGAAATTGTAGTTCATGTATATTTATTAATTATATTATTTTACTATTTTTTTATTATTAATTTCAGAAAATTATTTTGTTTATTATTAAGAAAAGATGCTTGTTATCTTATATGCTTATGTTTTTATGATTTTAATGAAATTGTAGTTTATGTATATTCATTAACTATTTTTATTATTTTTCTAATAATATTTCGATTATTATCTGATTCGATTATTATCTATCTAGACAAGACAAAATTACTTTTTTCTTGTAATTAGTAAATATTTATGTCTGTTCATTTTATTAATTATCTAAAATTTAAAATTCAACATTTAAACTTATGATTATGATTGCTTTGAAATTTTTTTTTTTACCATTTAAGTTACTGATTTCCATTTTTCTAATGATTTTAGCAATAGAAACTGAATTTTAAAATTATTCCCCAATTTTATTTAACTTTAGATTATTAAATTTGATTTTTTTTCAAAGATATGATGCTGATATTATTATTGCTTCATTACAAACTACATAATTATTTTAAATTTTATTCTGCTTTTTCTGTTATTTTTTTAAAAATTTGCTTGAGTTTTTTTTCCTGTCTAATAAAAAAGGCATTTGCACACAGCTCGGTTGTAGGCAAGAGGTCTTATGAAGTTATGGCCCACAATTTTATTATGCATTGTGGTCCTAATTGTACAACTCTTGCATATTAGTGTTCATATTTGGCAATACAAACTTGACTATAAAAAAAATTTTGCAGACTCTTACATTTACTCAATATCTTCAACATTTCGGTGGGAGAAATATTGTTTTGCTGCATTTGGATCATCAATGGAATATCATCCTACAATATAATCTGATCATAATACAGTAGAAAATTATGATAACGCAAACCTTGAAAGCTGGGGCTTTGCATTTTATTAAATTTAGTGTTATGTAGATCATTTCACTTATTTTTAAACCTACCTATTAAATATGGCGATATTTGTCTAGAACAAATCAATCTTAAAATTTTGAGGAATAATTTTTAAATACAATAACTTAAATATGCAAAATATGCTCTTAAGTAATAGAAAAAATAATAAATTTTCTGCCACATTCGAACTAGCGACAAACAAATAAATCAATTTTGGCATTAATCTTTCTTTTAAAACATTAATCATTTTAGAGTTCGAAAATTAAGAGTTCCTACATCTAATGAAATATTCCAATATATTGAATGAACTTTTCTTGTCAGTTCAGCAAATAAATTATTTATTGTTAGGTATATGTTGTGTGACACCATCTGCAGAATCCTAATTTCTGCATGTAGCACATTTGTAATCCAAATAATAGTTATATTGAAATTCACCTTCTAAAACAGGATTACCTAATTATTCTTTTTCCCTTCAAAGGGAAAATGTGTCATGGAAACCTAAAGAGGAGGGCACCTCAAAACTAGTTGACAGAGACACCATTCACCCTCATAAATAAATAAATCCTCCTCATTTCAGAAAATAAAATGTAAAAAATTTTATTTTTGTGTTATTTTTGAACTCAATATAAATTTCTCAATTTTGTTATTGTCAAATATAATTTTTTATAAACCAGAGTAGCATGATCTGCTAGGGATGAAAGAGTATTAAGAAGAGTACTTTTTCCTGCTTATTCTTGTATATTTAATACTTTTTTTTAAAACCTTATTAAAAAGAATGATGAAAGTGGCATGTATTTAGTGACTATTATATGTAACCTTTTCATTACAGTTATGGATTCACCAGGTGACAGAGATGACATTTTGATGAGGCAAACAGGTACTTTAATAAAGTTTCCTGTTCAGACTAATTTAGGGCATAAAAAGATAAAAAAGGAAAAAGATAACCTCCATCCTGAAGTTTATGTTGATGAGTTACATACTGCTAATCAGACTAATTTAGGGCATAAAAAGATAAAAAAGGAAAAAGATAACCTCCATCCTGAATTTTATGTTGATGAGTTACATACTGCTAATCTATCATCCATTCCTACTCAAGATAGGCCAATTTCTAATCAAGAAGTTCAAACTGTAATAGGAGAAAGTACTTCATCTCAGAAGAGGTCAGAGATTCAGATACGAACCAGATTTCCTCCTCCTCTTTCTCCCAAAATTATTATTGTACCACCACCAAGTACTTGTTGCAATCAGGATAACAGGTTAGGAACCAATGCATTGCCTTCTTTACAGCAAGAAACTGAATCTGAATTACCAGTAAACAGTGAGAATTTTGAACTAGCATCTAGTGCTTCAACTAACAACCCTATGTTACTTCCCCAGCAAGAAATTCATTCTGAAGTATCAACATGCTCTATGAGTAGTCAAAGGTCCGGTTCATCAACTGTACCTGCTAACAACTATACAACTATTGTAACAACTATACCTGCTAGAAATTTGAGTGTTCAGAATACTGGGTCAACATGTGCTTCAACAACCATGGCACCATCTCAAAGTAACTTTGCATCTTATTCAAGTAGTTCTCAGAATCCTATACCTGAAAACAACTTGAATGGTCAGAATACTAGACCAACAGTTACTTCGGCAGAAGGTGGTGCCCTGGCAGTGTTTCAGTCCCCTCAAAGTAGCTTTCCACCAGATGCAAATATTTTGAGTTTTCAAAATGCCATCTATCCAAGCTCTCAAAATTTAGTTCCACCTCATCCTTGTAATTTGAGTTTCCAGAATTCGGCATTAGATGTTAGCTGTGCTTCTACATCAGGTGCTACAGTAGCTTCAAATGCTGATCTTGCCGATTCTCAGTATCATCATCATTCACCGGAAAAGAAAAAATCTTCTATCTGCCCTTATTGTAACAAAGATTGCCAACATCCATCTACTTTAAAGCATCATATTCTCAAGCATACTAAGGAAAAACCATTTATTTGCAAATATTGTGCGAGAGCTTTTAAAAGTCAAGGGGCCAGACATAATCATATTCGCCGTTATCATAAAGAAAATCAAGGGTCTTCTGTAGATCATCATGATGATCAGAATTTGATTTGAAATCAGAAAATTAGTTTAACGTTAGTTTTTTTTCTTCCAAGTTTTGAATAACCGGAAAAATTTGTCCAAAAAATTTTCTTGTTTTTAGTTCAAATTAATTTGCATAAACTAATATATATAGGGCACCCACTAGTCAGGGAAAACCTGGAATTGTCAGGGAATTTTATTTTAGCTCTAAAAAGATGGGAATACTCAGAGAACGTCTCAATTATGTTATAAAAAACCTGGAAAATTCCTATATCATATTTAGAAAATAACCTGTCTTAGAATTTTCAGTAACAGTAATCAGTTATTTAGATTGGAGTTAAATAATTCTAACGTCTATTAGAATTATTTATAAAATTTGACTTTTTAGTGAAACTTTTCCATGTTTCCACTCTCATTATATTATATGATTTTGCTCACACAATCTAACATTTGACATTACAAGAAAAAAGTTGTTTGATGAAAAATTGCATGGTATAAATCTGGCCATAAAATAAGGGTATAAATCTTCATTGAAAATTCCTTGACATACCTGGAAAAGTCAGGGAATTTTTTTTCTTCTGAAATTGAGTGGGAATCCTGATATTGTGTATTAAAAGTTAAATTAAGAAGTTCATTTTTTATTTCTGCACAGTGTTAGTAATGAATATAATCAGTTTTTATATCCCAATTTGCTTTATTTTTATTGTAATGTATTTTTGGAATATAAATGGTATTCATGCCGACCGACCTGTGTAGGGGGCAGGGAACTGTCCTTGCATCAGAAAGGTCCTGGCAAGGCATGGATGTTTCTTTCTCCCTCTGTGTGTTCTATGTCCTTTCTCCTTTGAGTGCGAATATGACCCGCCCTATAAACGGGTTGTGGTTGTGTGAATGGCGTGGCAGAAGTCGANAAAAAAAAAAAAAAAAAAAAAAAAAAAAAAAAAAAAAAAAAAAAAAAAAAAAAAAAAATTGTATTCGTAAGGAATTTTTTATATTGATAGCTTCGTCTGTTTTTTTTTGGCCTGATATACAAATGTTTTGTGTATTAAAAATTATCTTAAGAAGTTCATCTATCATTTAGTTCTTATCGTATAGTGAGCCATTTATGAGAGGAAACATATTGAAAACATAAACTTTAATGAAGAATCAAGACAAAATAGAGAAAAGATTAAAATGGCCACTCAGAGTTCTAAAAGAGATCTGAAGTAGGATTAATTTATATAAAATGTTAACCATATATATAATACTTAACATAAATATGCCAAATGTATAATGCTAGACACACACATATATATATATAATGCTAAATTATATTTCTGATGAAATATTGCTATGTATTATAAATATTTAGTTGGCAGTTTTGACACTTTCCTTGAAAACCTGGAATAGAATTTTAGTTTTGAAATTGAATGGAAAATCTGTTTAATGTAATCTCAATTTATGTTTTTTTCCTTATGCCTGTATATGCTTGTTTTTTTTTAAGTTTTTCTATGTTTTATGCATTATATAATATGTAAAATATTTGCAGTTTTTAAACAAAATTGCTAAAACCTTATGCAAGTTGATTTTTATTTGGGTGTCCTCCTAAATTTAAATGCTTATTGTAAAATAATTATTAAAAAAAAACTTTTTTTAAGTTAACTATGCAGAAATATCTGCATTAATGTCATGGGATATGCATATAAGATTATTTAGTGTTATTAATGTGGTATAGTATAGATTAATTTTTGAAGTAACTGTCTGTTTAAATATATAATCGACTTTGTAATTTAAACATAAAGCAGTATTCTATTTCATTATTAATTCTTTAAAATATCATTGGATTTTTTACAATACAAATTAAAATAGTTAAAAAAAAATTATGAGGCTTAAAACAAATTTTTTTGCATTCTCAGAATATTTTGTTTGAAACAACAAAGTAAATTATTGTTTCTTTATAAAAGTAAAAATTTCTTGCAAAATGTTTACGTTATTAAACCGTTTTTCTAAACTATGATTCTTTATTTAGAAATATATATATATATATATAAATTGCCATGGATTTGAATTTTTAAGAGGCTTTTTGTGAAATTGTGCCAAGCTTCAAAAATATAATATTGATTTTCCATATTAGAAATCATACATTAAAGTTTCAACAAATGTATAAATCCAATTATATATTTTTCACTTGGTATTGCTAACTAACTTGTGGCTTCTTTTTTTTATTTTATTTAAATCTATGCATAAAAATTAACATGAAGAAATTATATATGTTTTTAAATGTAGGTTTTATTTTATTATTGTTGTTAAATTTAGTTTCCAATTTAAACCAGAGAATTAGACATATTTGTATTATGAAAATAATTTTTTTTGTGTACAGTAATTTGCTTTATTGTGCAGTAATTTGTTAAATGTTGAGAAATTTAGTTTGTTATGGTTAAACACATACTTTAAAATTATGTAATGCTTAACTCTATTTTGCTACAGACATAAATAGACAAAAGACCTGTCTAGTCTAAGCTGGCTGAACTGATTTTAACCATTCCCTCAAATATCATGTCTCGGTTTCTTATAAAGTATCGGGAACTTAGCTGCAATTTCATTCTTAATGGGACAAGAGAAACTTAGATGACCAAATCCTCTATCAAACATTTTATTATCAAAATATGCAAATTTTGCCAAACAACAGAAGAGAAGGTCTGATAATAAATTTGAGCTGGCCAGATGGCTGAGCTTTTAGTGTGCCTGACTGCAAAACCAACGGTTGCGAGATTGAATCTCGCTGAGACACGAATGTTTCTCTGTGTCTTATTCTCTGTTGATATTTTAAGGAGTGGTTATAATTTGATATTGGCTTAGTCAACTTAAAATGGGCAGGTCTTTTTCCTATTTGGTGTCTGAAGAAAATAAGGATTAAGCATTGCATGATTTTAAAGAATGTGTTTGACCATAATAAACTAAATACTTTTGACATGAAAAGAATTATTAATTTATAATTTATTTTCATTCTGTATATTTACAGTGTTAGTCAAAATGTATGTCCCAGTTTCATAGGTGTACTAAAAAATATACTTAGGGGAAAAAGGCTGGCTTTGATTGACATAATGTAAACCGGTCCACTAGAGCTCGGTTCGGTCCCTGCATATAAAGGAAAAAGCAACATTTATGGGGCACACCAGCAATAGTTATTAGATTTGGTTCTTACTCTCCTCTCCTACCAACCACTTCTGGGGTTGGGGAAGGATTGGAGAGGAGATAAAAAAAGTTCTATCTTTATTTATTGTTTGTTTGTTCTGCATTTTTGCACTCTTTATAAACATTACTGTACTATTAATTAAGATATTTTTTTTAAAGTACTTTTATATCAAATCGTCCATGTTGATTAAATCTGCTAATATATTTCGAGATTAGGAAAAATAATAAAATGGCGGTTTGCGGGAGACAGCATTCATAAACATCATACATGCAGAATTATCCAACAACTGCTTCTCAGGTGATGTAACTCCTGACTGCACTTTGTTTCTCATGTGCATGCACTAGATGTTGGTACATATGATGCTCTGCTATATCTGAGTATGTTGCTTGCTCTATAAGTTGTTTTTCTGGTAACGCATACTGCACCGAGCAGCACCCCACATAAACTGCGTATTCAAAGAGCCGGACTTTTTTTTTCTTTTAATATTTTTTGAGTGCACTATTCAAAATGTAAAAAAGGTATTCATCAAAAATTTGTATACATACATTGTTTACATAAACAAGTTAAGAATGTATTACTTGCGAATGCTCAAGATGCGCTTACTTTGTTAAATGGTATCCAGACGTAAAATGTAATTTTTTTCCAAACTTTTTGCAAAATATATATCCTTATATTAAAACTGGCAATGACAACTGTGATAAAAGCTTTTGTGTTTGTACAGGCAATTACATGCACAATGTTTTCTATTATAATATTTACTTATATATTGTGATGAGAAATTACTTAGAGTATAATTTAATTGTTAGGTTGCTTGTGTTTGATTATAATATTTCTATTTACCGTTCTTGATATATTATGTTTCTATCTAAATTTGATAGATAGCAATGTTTCTTAATATGATATTTATTGATCTTGATATATTGTGATTACTAGAGAAATTACATGTTAAATTATAATTATGTTGTTTAATTTTTATTATAATATTTCTATTTATTGTTTCTGATGCATTGTGATGGCAAGAAAAATTACATATTAAAGTATTATTGTTATGTTGCTAGTGCTTTATAATATTTCTATTTACACCTGCTAATTTATGTTTCTAAAAACAGCTTCTTTTCCTTTTTCGTTTTTATTTCATCTTAGTACTGATGTATTTATGTAATCATTTAAAATGTAAAAAAATAGTTTTAAATTATTCATTTTAATTAAAATTTGAAATATTTTAAAATTTTATGGATTTTAAATTTTTTTCTACAAAATTAGATTAAAGAATAATCTATAAGCATGACTATTTTATTATAAAATATATCTTTGCTTTGGTGATTTGTATTCAATAAAGGTCTTTTATTATGTTTCTTTTCTTTATTATGTTTCTTTTCTTTATTATGACTGATTGACTGACTATGACTGACTATTATATTGACTGATTAATTATTACCAAATCTATAATTCAATTTGATTAATTGATTTTTATAATAAATGCTGTTCAAACATTTTTAACTGACCAAAGTCATTTTCAAATATGTTGCATCATCTTGCTCCTATGATGACAAAACTGAGGAGAAAATACAAAAATGATTTAAATGCGTTTTCTTAATGTTTGAGAATATACTTGAACTTGGCAAAGCCTAACGTCGTAATTACATTTTGATAAAAAAAAGGCTTATTGCCATTTGAAATTTTATAAATTTTGTAACCCTGAGAGCCAAGAAATTGTCTTTAACATCATTCTTGAGTGCCTAGTTCATAATACCCATGTAAAAAATTTAATTACGTTCACTCAAATTGTGAGCTTTACAGAGGGTCGAATGTCAGCAAAGTTATTTCATAAACACATTGTATGCATGTATTAAATATGGGTCATTTTCTTGGAACTTACACTTTTGATGTTCCATGACTTTAGGTAGTTTTTAGTTATCTGATTTTAAAAATTGTGCTGTTTTAGAGTTACTTAATACTTTTGAGTCTATATTCCAAGTTAAGTAAGGTACTTTCCTGTTCCTCCCCCCCTCCTCTGTTTCTCTTCCACTCTGTTACCATGTTAATGGAAACTTTTTTATTTTTAATTTAATATTTCATTACATATTAAGCTTATTAAAATAAATATTCATTGATAGATTAAAATAGATATTCATCAATAAATTAGAATAGAAAGATTAATGAAAAGAGAAGAAAATTATGAAAATAAAATAAAATTTTTTTGCATGTGCATGATATTATGTGTTAGGTCGTGTAGCTCTAAGAAAAAGTTCCTTGCATGCAGATTTATCTCTGATACTTTCCTCTGATTGCTATAAAAAATTTTTTTGTCTTTCATTCTTTTTATAGAATTCTCATGAAAGCAGTCTGCTTGATAATGAGCTTTTACTGCTGATAAAACTATACCATCAATTTGACTTAAATGTTTTCTTTGAAACCTGTTTAGACAAAGCTTCTTAATGATGTAATTGATTTAAAGCTGCTCAGCGTGTGTATTTAGCATGGTAAATATTCGTTCAGTGGCTAAGTTAAGAATGGTATGTCTTATCTACCTCATCATAAGACTTGGTTTTAAAAGCATCTGGCATTTCTATCACGACCTCTAAGAGTTGGACAAGTACGTATCCTTTTTAATTCAAGATTCCATGTTTAGGTGGGTGCATTTAGGCTGATTCAATAAAAAAAAATCAGTATAACCTTTTATTATTATTTATTGACTTAAGAGCACTTTAATTTATTAAAGGGCTCATAAACTAAACACAATCAAAATTGAAAAATGTGCTTAATTTACCCTTTGTTCCTTTTTAAAGAGTGTTTTAAAAATGCGCCAGTAAATTGCAGAAATTATTTTTGAGTTTTATATCTTAAAATTTATCAATCATTGTTGTCGCAAATTCATTTGACAATAAATTGTTTTTTTTTTATTTATTTTTTTGTTATTTTTAAATCTGGTTTCGAATGCAGTTTTTCACAATGTCAGAACTTAGTAAAATGTTCTTGTTTAAATTTATTTTCATTCAGCAAATAATTCAGTATATACATTTGTATTTCTTTTCAATTATACTTCTAATAAGAACTTTTTTTCCCCTGAAATCTTATATAGTTTTATATATTATTTTTTTTGCACTTTTTTATGTGATTAAGACTTTTTTTTGGTCCATTTTTATGTTGGTTCTGCATCATTAAACATATTACAAATTATTGAAACATTAGGATTCTGGCCTAAAAAAGTAAAAAAATGAATTTTTGTCAATTGATACAGTTGCAAATTTTGATTGTCATTTTACTTAATTAACTGATTTTGATTGTTTAATGTATTATATTTTGAAAATATATAAAAAAAGCATTAAACAAGGGTCACTGTTATAAAAATTGAGCACTTAATTTGTTTGATTGATTCTAGGTTTTGAAGTTGGTGACATCTTTTATTGCGGCAGTTAGTTGTTACACCAGCCTTTACTAAAATTGCGATTTGTTGATTTAATCCAACATTTTAAACTGAAATAATAAAAATGTCATAATACGTAAAATTTCTTAGATATAAAATTATGTTTTTTTTCTTCTTCATTATAGTTTACGGCCATCAACAAAGGTATTTATCAAATGAACGGAAAAAGATCATAAGAAACGCTAGAAGTAAAACGGAATCTGCAATATATTTTCAAAACAAAGAAGAATTAATGTCACAGCGCACTGCGATTGTGTTTCCTAAGAAAGTTACCGCCAAAGTTCATACCTGTGACATATGCCACAAAAATTTTCCCTTTAAGAGTTATTTAAACAGGCACAAGATAAGTCACATGGAATCAAACATTTTTAATTGTAAGCAATGTAGTTGCGCATTTTGGAATCGTGTGGAATTTGTAGAGCACATGGCATCTGCTCATCCACAGTAAAAGTGATTTTTCTGATTTCTTTGTAATATATGCTTTTTAATGTACATACATACATGTAATTATATTGCTGATTAAAAATTTACTCATTTTTAATATGTGGTTAGCCAAAAGTACATATATGCTAATTTCTATTGTCATTTTGTAATTATGTGGATTTTGTTGAGCACATGGCATCTGCTCATTCATTGGACCAGTGTTTTTTATAATCTGTTTGCAATGTATGTAATTATATTGTTAACTAAAAATTTACTCATTTTTGATTTGTAATAAAATATCAATGTTTATGTGCATATGTATGCCAATTTCTATTAAACCTTATGTCACATTTTCTTATATAATTACATTCATTTTTGTATTATTACAAACTTTAACTTATATAATACATTTGAAAATGTCTTCCTTTTGATATAACCTTAGGATGACAGATTTTTAGAATATAAAACTCTCATTCTTAGTGTGTTAGAATAAATACTTTATAAAGCCTTTTAGTATCATAATTTTAAAATATTGAACTTAAGGATTGAACAATTTTTGTTATATTCAGAATAAGTTTTCATAGAATCCATTGTATTTTTAACTGAATATCACTTTTTTATATTACGATTTAAAATTTTTTTATAAATCTGATTTTAATAAATTCATAATGTAAAAGGAAATTTATAACTCCATAACCATTTTTATTTATTAGAAAAATTCAAGTGTATACATAATATTGCATTGTGTGCTCTACTTTTTTATTTAGTCTTATATTTTTTATTGGAATTATGTGCCATCTCCATTTTCCTTTTTGAAATTGTTAATCATACAACTAATAGTTTATGAATATTGTTTAAATTACACAAATGCTGTTTTAAACATGCTCCTAGTTTTGGCAAATTCAGAAACTAGCAAGAATTTTGAAATCTTCATATCAAATAAGGTATTAATGAAAGTATATATAAATTTGTTAATTTTTTTTTAAATTCCATAAGTGGCTTGACATTATAAATTTTATGCTATATTTTATTTGATGCTATTATCTTATCATGCTATTAACATTTGATGCTATTATCTTAATTTCCTTACAGTACATAATTTAAATTAAATTCATATTATTATGAGTTTATAATTCATTTCATACATACTTTCATTCGGGAGATTTGTATCTTGCTAGTTGATGTTTATATTAATTTGAGTACAATAATGTATGTGTTGAGTACAATAATGATGTCCACTTGACATAAACATACATAGTTATCATGTTTATGGCTAAGTAAATACCAATTTTATAATTTTTATTTAAATGATTTATGAGAAAAGCCACTTGTATTTGAAATCCTGAAATGATGTTTTATTTTATTTAGCCTATAATTCATATTTAGTCTTATATTGAAATATTTTTGAAGAAAAAGAATTGTCATATAGTAGTTTTTCTATTTTTGGTTTCATCAAAAAATTTGGATAATATTTTTAAGATTTAACTATATTGTAAAATTAAAAATTATGTTTTATGATAACGTTAGGAAAATAATTAGTTTCTTTTGTTTATTCAATAGCTGATTAGTTTAATTATTATTATTGCAATAAGAAAAGTTTAAAAGCATTTGACTTTACTTATGGTTTCTACAGGTAACATTTACTGCACTTAAATAACTGTTATTATAATCTTTTATTGTACAAATATTTCTCGGTATTTTTTTTATATTGCTAATATCTAATTTTTATTATTTTATTTTTCCTTTTTGTCCTTAATATCTTTTTAATGATGTTAAGACTGCTTATTTTTTTAATTAATTTTTTTTATCTAACCTGTAAAAAATAAATTACATAAGACTCAATAAACTGTACATTTGTCTTTTTTATTGTTACTTTTATTTTATTATCTTTTAATTAATTTGTCTAGTACTAAACAAATTATTTAAAATAAATTTGGAACAAAATATTTCAAATGACACAGTTGAGACTTTAATCGATTTATAAAACTTATCAAGTACTATAACATAAAGCATTACTATTACCAATAATACTAAACAAATTACTTTTGAAGACATGTAAAGAAATTTTTAGGGCACATTTTGCCATTTGGTCATAATTTGCGGTTGCAAATATTTGAAAGATTTTTAAAAAAATCATATTAATTACTTTTTTAAAATAAAGCACTATTTTGCTTTTTAAATTTTAATATGCATTAACTGCATGCTTTGTTTTATACAAAAGTTCTAGTTATAATTTATTTATTTACATTCATTTAGACTTTATCTGCTTGTATTTACTTTAGTTTTAGCTTTGATTTTTTTTTTCTCCATAGAATTAGATATTTGTTTTAATTTGCTGTTTGTAGTTAATCCTCTATTGCCTAATTTTGTTCTTTCTTGTGAATTTCTTGATGTATTCAATGTAAAAACAATATATCAATCACAAGTTGTCCAAATAAGGATTAGTTTGTGCTATGTGCGGTTGAAGCAAAGCAACATGAATTAAGCACAAATAAAGGTAAAAAAATTAACTAACTATGTTTCAGTTCTATAAATAAGAGTATCTTTCAGTGCCTAAATGCAAAATAATTGCATGCCAAGTACAAGCATTTTTGTGCCAATTTATATTTTTTTTGTTTAAAATTTACTGATTTGACACTGAGAAAGTTTCTTGTAGATAGAACCAAAACTATAATATGTCCATTTTGTACCTTTAATACCTTAATTTGAGCTTTATTAATAAATTGCTCATTAAATGGTATCAGTCGAGGCATAAGTATTTACAAAACTGGGCTTTAGAGGGTTATAATTAGAAAAATATGTGTATATATTTTAACTGAAAGTAATGATAGATTGCTATCCTTACACTGTATAACAATGTATGGTCTGCATTATATGAGTTTTAGTTTGCTCATTGTCTTAAAAAAACTATTTTATTTTAAAATTTTTGTACTTGTTAAAATTTTTTTTTAAAACTTTATAAGTGATATTACTTAGTGAAAAAAGCAATCTCCCTAATTTTAATACTAGATGTAAACTTATAAAATGTGCAGATTTTCAGTTGAAATTTATGCAGTGTTGAGTTAATTTATTGATTTTTATATTTGATTTCACTTAATTCAGTTGTTTCCTTGTTGTTGAATTTTTTTAAAACAAAAATCATGATTTTCATATATTTTTTATTAAAAATTAATATGTTTACAAATTTTCAGACTCCATACTGTACTGGAATTCTAGTGATGATACTTTAATCTGCAGGATAAAGTCAAGAGACAATAAAGCATCTGTTTATGATTTGTTTGATAATGAACCACTTTTCACCAGATTTACCAAAACCCCTGCTAAGATTTTCCCATGTGAGGAATGCCAAAAACAGTTTCGCCAAAAACGGGACCTTATTCGTCACATAAGAGTCCATACGGGTGAGAGACCGTATGTCTGTGATCTTTGCGGTAAAGATTTTAGCAGAAAGGATAGACTTCTTGTACATAAACGAATGCATATCTAGATGTGTGATGGTTATTGAGCAGAAAGTAACAATAGTCTTTTAAGTTGCATGGATGTGTGTACGCAAGTCATTAGTTATAGAAAAAAATTATTTATCAATACACATTTTTACTTTATATTTGGTTAAGAATAATTTTAATTGTTCAGAAAATGTATTTTATATTGTAATACAGCATTTCACGATATTTAGGGTTATGGAACCCTAAGTGATCAAGTTACTTTTGGCAGAACCCCAGTATTATAAAAGAAGTTCATTAGCAGCTGTGAATGCAAAAACCAAAATAAGTAAATAAATAAAAAATACTAATTATTTTGAAAATATTAAATGTGATAATTGAAATGTTGTAAATTATGAATTTGTTCTTGGTATGTGGCATATTAGCTGAAAATGTATGAAATGAGCTGAATTCTGGTTTAAAAAAAGAACTGTTATAAGCATTAAAAATAGTTACCAGAAAAGCCTTCTTCCTGATTTTGGTTATTTTATTTTGAATTGAAAAGCTTGATTAGAAGTACTTATGGAAATTTTTTATAAATGTATTTCCTTTTCATAATTCATTCAATATTATTCATTCATTGAAAAAAAATTGTTTCTTAATTATACTACTTTTTTTTTACTGGCATTACATAAAATTCATATAAACAACTGAAATATTAAATGAATTATGAATTATTGATTGACTCTAAATATAATTATCACTGGTTTTAAAAAAAAAATCCTATCAGAACCCTTTTGATACTTTCAGGGAAATTTTGAGTTCCACAGAACACTGGGAACCACTGCTGTAATATACAGTAATGCAGTTTTGTTGACTAAATATGTATAGTCTAAAAAAACTAATTGCAGTCCATAGAGGGCCAAGGCCTACTGTGCCCATCTCAGTTTTCTTGACCTTGGACTCTGGAGTGCACGAGTAGATGTTAGGTGCTGAGCTGAACGCAGAACCCCCAGTGTTTAGTTCCCAAGCATGCTTGGTACTAATTTATCGACCCACTGAAGGGATGAGAGGCTGAGTCAACCTTGCCCGGCCCGAGGATCGAACTCAGGACCTGTGGCGCGGAAACTCGAAGTGTTACCACTCAGGCACTGGGAAATAGGCATAGCCAAGAAGTCTATACATTATGTTATAAGCTGAATAGGAATTAATATATTTTACTTAAGTATTATAGGAACGAGATATGAAATGAAAAATATATAAGGTATGTTATGAATTTAAAAAGTGATCTGTAAAGTTAAATCGTTTGATAAACATGTAAGTGGAATGTATTTAATGCATGGTACATGCTGTATTGTAACATAAATGTTTATACTTCCTATTTATCATGTGAAATTGGTTTAATAATATTAACATTTATGTTATAGGTGTTCACTCCAATTAAAATTTTATGCTACTGTATTTTATGTACATTTTTCAAAAAATATATTTTTTTGTTTAAATTCAGTGTTTACAGTACATGTTTACATTACAGTAGTGTTTACATGTGTTGGTATAAATCACTGTCTGTAAATTTTCTTCAATTTGGAAAAGTGATATGTGTAATAAGTGATAAATAATAATGTTTAATTACTTAGATAAAATGTTTCGAATGTAAGTCAATTTTTGTTTATTCCAAAGATTTAAAAATTTTGATTATTTAAATCAAATAACAATACAGTTAAGCTTTATTTGAGTCTGGGTTATTGTTGATTTGTAGCAATGACTTTTGTATGTTTTTGTACTAAAACTTTAAGCATGAATAATTTGAAATCAGGTATCCTATCACATCTTTGTTTCTCACTTAGTAAAAATAGTTTTTTTCTCTCACTTAGTTGGTTTAATTGGATGTATTTAGTGAACCGTGAAACTTCTTAACATTTGAGTTCTTGTTTTCTTAACATTTGAATGCTTGCAAATTTAATAATAAACATGGTCTGAAATTTAAAAGTAATTTTAAAATTAAGAAACTAAGTTAAAATCACAAATTGAAAAGTTGGTGTGCACAGGTATTTCAATACTTCTTATGATTGTTGTTGAGCTTAATTAAACCAAAAATCACCTATTCAACAATTGTTGCTTATACGGATCTGCCATGCAGGTGGTCTTGGTTCCTTTTCCTGGACGATGCACCAGTTTCCATAATTCTTTTCTTTAATAGGCGATGATTGGTTTAATTAATCTCAATATTAAATCATCAAAACAACATTTTATGAAATCTTATTTAGAAATGTTATCATTATGTCCTTTACAGGCACTATTGGCAGTTCAGTAAAAATTCTTAAATAAAAATGAAAATAAATAAATGAATTGCACAGTGCACCATCTAATTTTCTAATTTCAGTGCTCAATTAATTTCTCCATATCACAATATTAGACCATTGATTTCTAACATTAAGATAATCATCTATGCTTTTAACCTAAGTTGGTTTTGGAATGTTGTTTTGTGGCTGGTATCTTTTAACCTTCATGTTTATATGGTGGCTTAACATATTAATATGATGCTATTTTATAACTTTAACAGAGTATTTTTCTGCATAATGCTTAGTTTTTAAGATAGTTTCTTGTATAATTTGCTAACTATTGAGTTTTTTACTTTGAGTAACTACAAAATTTCATCAAAGAACTATGTTAGTGTATTTAACCATACATATTTACTGTTAACATTAAAAAAAAAAATAGAGATAGCAGTGATTTTGGCTAGATTTTTAAAATTATGGGTCCTCAGGATTCTGAACTTTATGTTTTAATTTTTTAAAGATGTTGTTTTACTAAAAGCTAAAGTTTAAAACCTTCTTTATGTTCAAATATTAAAAAAATTTATGTGAAATGAAATGAATTTGCATTTTAAACTATGTTTGAAAAAATTAAAAGGTTGAAAGAGGAGAAAAAAAAGTCTCCCCAATTTTTTTTTCTTTCCCAAGCTTTTGTACTTTTGCCCTAACTCAAACAAATCTATATTGTTTATCTCATTTTTTTATGCCAGGTAAAATTTTGCATTCCAAACTTGCAACACAACTTTATTTTTGCATCCTGTCATCTGTAATTTTTAGTTTATTTGACATACCGTGGCATGCAAGCAGAATCACTGAAGATAGCGAAAAAGCTTTTCTAAATTTAATTAGTAACAACAAAAATAAATAGGAAAAAAAAGTTAATTTTCATTCTGTGAAAATAAAATATATATTAATAAATATATTTTCGCAAATGGAGTTTCAAAATAACAATGTGTGTGTTGTGAAATAATTGTTGCATGATTGATGGTTTCCTATTTTCTGTGATTTGATGACTGTTAATTCACTTTCACACATTTCTGCATTTCTTTGGTAAATTATATTGTATTGTTTCTGTGGAAAGTTTAATAAATCTTTATTCTACAAGTCTTGTTGATTCTTTTTCTTACTTTTTCCTCTCACTTTTTCTATACAAAATTAGATTGACTTAATTCTCAGTTTTTATATTTGCTTTATTTTTTAACACAGTTTATTTAAAGTGTATTCTTTGCTTTAAATTTCTTAATCAAATAAGTTAATAAAATTATTACTGTTTAATAAATTAACTTTTTGCTATAAATTTTGAAGTTCATGGTAACTTCTGAACTTGAAGTTTAGATTGAGTATTAATAATGCTAAGTGTTTTTCTTCATCCCATCTTGTGAAAGTTGTAAATGAATAATACCTTGTGAAGAGTACTTGTAAAGAGTTTGCAAGTGCATTACAAAAATTATATTGTATGAAACATCTTTTTAACTTGTATATTTTTAAAATTCAAAAGTCTGTCATTAAATTGCATGTTGCCTATGAAGTTAAAAGTTGCATTCTTATTCCAAGTAAAATATTTAAATCTTTGAAAAAACTCTTTTTACTTTAATTTTTTATTCTAACTTTTGAGTTATTAAGACGCAGCTTAAGTTTCATGTTTTACAATTGATTGCTGCTCTTGCCAAATCGATTAACTTCACTAACTTTATTAAATTTTTATATTAAGGCACTTAATTGACTACAAATTCAATAAATTAAAGACAATTTTTCTAACAATAAATATTAACAGCACTAAAAAAAACTTTTTTTGGCCATTGAATGATAAATAATTTATTTCAGATTTATTTATTTACTCAGATTATTTATGTTTATTAAATCGATTCATATATTTATTGTGTATGTATTTATTGAATTTATAACGCATTAGATTAAAAATGAATTAAAATATTAAGAGTAGATAAGATAAAGTATTAAGAGTAAATTGCAGTCCTCGACTTACTGATGTAGTAGCTGTAAATACTGTAAAGAATTTAATTTTATTTGTGTTTCTCAGTTGTATTGGGCTACACGTCACAGACTAATGATGTACACGTCTAAAATCTGGCATAAGATTTAATAGGTTTTTAGAAACTAAATTAAAAATATATATTAGTTCTCTAGTAGTTGGTAACTGTTAATTTTTGTGTGTGTTTTCTGTTTGTCTTTATAGTTAGATTCAAAGATCTCATTATAAAAGATAAAGTCAAATTTTATCAGCAATAAAAACGGTAAGAGATTTTTATTAATTTGAAGGAAAAAAAAATATGTATTCTTCTTTATTAGAAATTTGGTAAAAACTAATTTTTGTGTTTCGAAGCATAATTTAAAGATTGAATTGTAAAGACTTATTACTGAATTATGCCTGTAATATTATTAATTGATTTAAAAGTATGTTACTTTGCTAATGATAGCTCATTTTTATGTATTCAAGGGGAATTTAAATATCTCATCATGAGAAAACTATACGAGTGCATTTTATCTGCAATAAAATTAATAATTTATTTAAAAATTTTATTAATTAAATAAAAATACATTTAATAGAAATTGTAAATGTTTAGTGCAAGATGGTTTTAATTATCAGAACTACAATTTAAAGTTTGTAAATTGCTCTCATGACTTAAAAATGAATAGGTTTAATCAGTCAAGTAAATTTCTAAATTTAATTCTACTGTATATTTATTGGTCTGCACTGTTATTAATTGTATTTACTAAATAGGCTACACTCTTTTAATATAACCTCTTCACCCCTAGTATTCGAACACAGTTTTACTTCACTTTATATTCCTTATTTATTAAGATTTTTAATGGCAAAACCTTGTGTTCTACTAATAACATTAATAATATAAGATTGTACACTGTCGAATTTGCTCAGCATATGGCAGCACATCCGTAGCGGAGAAAATAAGGAAAGCATCTTTTATTAATTTTCAAAATGCTAATATTCCATAGTACAAATTAGACTCTTTATACCCAATTAAGTACTTTTAATTGAAAAAATAATTAGAAGTTGATTTGCAAATGGAAATGTAGCCTATTAGTAGAAAACTTATGCTTTAATGATCAATCAATAATTTATTAATCAATAATTTAATCGATCAATAATTTTTCTAAAAATATTGTGTTGTATATATAATTTGGAAATTTTTAAATTTTTTTTTACATTTGATATTGCAGAAACTCTAATTTTAATTCAATCAGCAGCTCCTGTTAAAAGTGAGAGGCCATCAGTTGAAAGCCCGATTTTACCACCTTCAAAGAAAAGATTTAATCCAGCTCTTAGACCTAGCGAAGTTGTAAGATATGATGGGTTAAGTCACTTAATTGAAAGAAGTCAAAAGCAACAGAGATGCAAATTGGAAAGTTGTTCGTACAAGACAACCTCAATTTGTGAGAAATGTGATGTATTCTTATGTTTTAATGCACAGAGAAATTGTTTCAAAATATTTCATACAAAATAATTGTAAACTATACTTAAATAAATGTTCTCACTTTGCTTGATTATTGCTACTATTAGAGTATTTTTTAATTAGTTGATAATTGGCAGAATCTTGTAATATTAAATATACTTGTATATAGTGCAGTATCTAATCAACCATTAATTTTTTTTCCTGCCCAATTAATAATTCAGGGCCACTGGGGTGCAGTAACTGTCTTCATATCTGATATTTCTATAATATTTTGTGTATGTAGAGTTGTTTGCAATATAATACAATATCTATATATAATATTTTAATTTTTAACATTTTGTGTGTTCAAAGCATTTGAAGATCTTTTAATTGCCACTAAAACAATCACTATCACAGTTTTTTACTTAGCACATAACAATCACTTGTTAATTTTCTTTAATTTAATTCAAAATGCTTTTCGATGCTTTGTAACTTACTTTTTATTTTCTATTAACAACATATATACTTCTATAATATGTAATTGCATTGTACTTCTTTGTATGCATTGTACTTCTTTAATTATGTAATTACTATGTATTGATTTTATCAACTAAAAATAAAGCTGGTACAATGCAAAAACGAACTTCATTATTTTTGTTACTAGGAGCATGCATATATATATGTATATAGACGCATACATACATAACTTACGTTTAATTGTAATTAGCTTTGTAGGTATATAAATCGTAATTTTTTCAATTCTATTGCTTTTTTTTTTTAAAAATTATATTTTTATTTTTTAACAGATTTTTTTAAACTTATGTTTATTTGTAATGATTTTAAAGTAAAAATGTGTTTTATTATTATTAAAATTTGTTAAATAGTTTATTTGTTAATAGTCTTTGTGTCAAAAGTGAACAGTTTAATCACACTTATTAATTAACTTTAAAATTGATTATTTTTTTGTCTTTCTCTTTCTCTTAAGAAATTGTTAAAATTTTTGTTATTTTGCTAAAGTAATGTATCACTGAATTTGATGGTCAATTGAACTCTATTGAACCATAAACTTAGTATTAATTTTTTAGATAGTTAAAATCTTATTGCTCAATTTATGTGATTGTATGTTTTTTCAAATATGTCTTTGAATACTGTTTCATTTTTTTAAATTCAAATTTGTTTTTGATTACGTATAATGTTTTTTTTATTGAACATTATTGTACATGATACAAACCAACCTAGTCTCCTGTTTTTTAATGATGATTCCTGTATTTTACCACTGTCTCTTGTTTACCGGTATATTCTCAAATTTCTCTGTATTTGTTAAAGAAATTTTTTTTAACAAAAAATTTGACAATTAAATATTAACTGATGGCAAAAATACTTCTCTTATTCTTCAACAGATGGTGCTATTGCCAGTACTGCAGTATGTTGAGTGTTTATAGTTTAAGTAATTATAATTAATGGTTTAAAAAATATTTAGATTAAGATTTATATACATATTTTTTACTTCGCTTAATGTAAGTGCTTATATTATTTCCAATTTTGAATTTCTCTTTTCGACTTTCATGATTATGCATGTTGTATCAAAACTAAAAAAATGTAGCCTAAAAAAATGTTGCTGGTAAAATCTCCATTATTTTATTTCTCCAATGTTGATGATATTATAAGTAGTAGATATTTATGAAAGTTATTTTTCAAATATGTTTTTGAATGTTATTGTACTTTTTCTATTAAATGAATTGGAAATATCCACTTCTAGTGGTCTTATTTATGTAAAATTTTTCCCTTTCAAGTGGAGGAATAAAAATGTATTATATTTTCCCCCCCTAATTCAACTTTGTTTTTGTTTATTATATTGTTTTTTTTAAATTTTATATTTTTATTTAACAACATGATGTTTATGAAAGTTATATATTTTTGTTTTAAAATCAAATAGGTTTTTGTAATGTTGTTATACTTTTTCTAGGAAATGAATTGGAAATATCTACTACTAGTGGTCTTATTTATGTACACTTTTTATCCTTTTTCAGGTGGAAGAATAAAAACTAGTTTAATTTTTTTCTCCTAATTCAACTTTGTTTTTTATTATTATATGATTATTTCTTAGTAAACTATATAATATTTATGAAAGTTATTACTTTTTTTCAGAAAAAAGAATCGAATGTGTTTTTTGAATGTTATTGTACTTTTTCCATAAACTGAATTACAAATATTTATTACTAGTGGTTTTATTTATGTGCATTTTTTCCCCTTTCAGGCAAAAGAATAAAAACTAATTGTTTCAATGTGTCTGATGTAGTGCAAGTAATCAATCCTGGTACTTTTGATTCTACGAGTATTTTACTGAAATATGTTTGCAAATATTGTGGTAAAGCATTACCATCCAATTCTGCATTGAAACTCCATATTCTCACTCATACTGGTGAAAAGCCATTTGTTTGCGAATTCTGTGGAAGAAGATTCAACCATAAACAGAACTTCGTTGTACACAAAACTCTGCATACCGGCAGGAAATTTTTTAAATGTGACATTTGTGGACATGAGTTTAATCGCAAGGATAGACTTGCTGCGCATTGTTTGAAGCATAAGAGAGCATAAAAATTTCTCTAAAAATATGATGTATTGTACAGTGTGCAAAAAAAACAAACAAAAAACCTGAATAATTTATGATCTAGTGTTCAGATCATTATGTACTAGGACTTGTGCTTTAAAGGGATGACCTCTATTCTAATTAATTGATGAAAGCAATATTTTAAGTTACAAAATAAGACAAAAAAATTATTTTTCTGCATAAAGATTGATTCTTGATCCTGGGGGGAGGGGAGGTTTCTCAGGAACTACTACATAATAATCTCCCATCTGTTACATCTTAAGTGAAAATCTGATCATTAGATCAAAAGTTATTAAGGATGTTCCTTTTTTCATTTTTGTAAAATATATTTTTGCACACTGTACAACTGCAGCAAGCAGGTCTACTTAGATAATTGAATATTTCAATAATTGCATAATCTATAATAAGATTTCTTATAAAAAACTACAAAATAATTTTTTTGCAATCATAAAATTATTAGGTTACCAAAATATTTAAATTTTTTTAATGTTTTCACATATTTAAATTAATTTAAACCCTCTTTAATTTAACTTATGGAGATCACGCATTCCATTGTCTAATTATGAAAATTTATTTAACCTAAGTCCAGTGTGAATTATTAAATTTACGATTTATTGGATATTCTTTCAATAATAATAATTAAAATGTAATAGGCTAATGTTTACAATAACAATGTTTGGTGCTAACGGTCCCTGGTACTTTGGTCTAAGTTTTGGTGTTTATGGTGAAAATATATCACATTTTTATTTTTAAAATATCTGAATTAATAGAGTTCTACTATAATTCAGGATATACATTGGAATCTGAATGATTTCAACCTTAAATACTGATTGCATGAGTGTAAACAATATTTGATGGGTAATATTTCAAATGGGATTGAAAAAAGTAGTATTGTTATTTAAAAATGAACATTAAATAGTCATTAATGGAGTTTATATTATACTTTAATTTTGTGGCAGCTATTATTTATCTTATATTAAAAATTTTTTAACTCACTTTTTAAACACATTGGATAAATTCTTTTTTTAATATTCTTTAAAGGGTGAATAGAATATACAAAACATTTTTGTTTCAGTAGTTGGATATTATTTGGTTAAGTTTCAAAGCGGAGTTAAGTTTTTAACTCAGAAAAATTTTTTAGAAAGTGCATATCCTGTTAGTATTTAAAAGATTGCATCAATATTTGTATTTAATTGCTAAATATTTAAAGGGATTATATAATTATATTGAAATTATATAATAATTTGTTTTTTACTGTTCTAGGATTGGTGAATATAATTTATTTAAAAAAAAAATGGAACAAATGTTATTTTGCAAATATTTTATTGTTTGAAATTGATAATAAAATTATTTTGAGTTCTCTTTTTATGAAATGTTTACAGATGAATGATGTACAATCACACTAATATGAATGTTTATAGCTGTAATGTAATTTTGAAATCATAGCCAAAAGCAGAAACTTAAAATGGAATATTTTTTCCAGCATGTGAAGTTCCATTATCAACTTTTTTTGTGTAATCAATTTGATAAGTGGTAGACATACCAAATTAAATCTCATCATTAATTTTTTTTTCAAAGTATTTCCCAGCCTAGACTTCAGAAAAAAATTCTTTCTTTCCATATCCATTAAGAATTTACTAATTGTGAAAGATTATAAATTATATGTTTATTGGATATCTCCTTGTTAGGTAAGAGTTGCAAAATATGAAGCAAAATAAATAAATAAAATAAACATAGGTTACTAATTTTAAGTTAAAAACTATCAATAAATTTTTTTATGGGTATTTTTTTATGCTTATGTTTGTATTTTGTGAATAAACTTTCATTTTACAAAATAATCTCAAATTGCTACAATTCTTTACCTTTCAGACATTTAACTGAGTTATTTTCCAATTTTTTACGGGTTTAAAGTTTTTTTTAAACAGAATTTAGTTCATACGACCCATTTTGTTTTTTGTTGTTTATTGCCTTTGTGTATTAAGATGCATATTTTAAAAAGGTGTTTGCTTTCAATGGAAAATAATAAACAAAATATATTTCTTAAAGTATAAATTCATTTAATCGCAAACTAAAGGATTATTTTGAGTTTTCAAAGTTAATTTAAAATATGTGTGAATTTTAACTTTAATTCATTTATTTTATTTATTATTATTATTTTTGCTTCAGCAAAGTGCATAAAGGTAAGTAAAAATTTGTTAATTTTTTTTTAATCCAAAGCTATTTTTCCACTATTGTAAAATGACTTCAGATTTTGAATGAAGATATTTTTTAATTAACCTAATTACAATTAAAAAAAAAGACTTCATGATTGCTACTAATATAATTAAATAAATGTACTTGAATTTTAACGTAATGACTATTATTTTCAGACTCTGGATCCTTGCGTTCCACTTTCTTGAATCTCATCCAAGGTGTTTGGGGTATTCCTGCCGCAGAGATCGACAATGGTATAAAAGAAGATCCAGAAGACACACAAAGCAACTCTGATGGTACATCTTCTTCTCGACCTCGGAAGTACACTTGTATAGAATGCGGAAAAACATTTTGCCAAAGAGGTCATTTGGAGGACCATTTAAGGACTCATACGGGAGAAAAACCATTTTTCTGCGTTGAATGCCCTAAAAAATTTAATAAGTATTCTCATCTTAAAACTCACATCCGGATACATACTGGAGAACAGCCGTACACATGTGAAACTTGTGGTCGTAAGTTCAATAGGAAAGATAACTTGAATGCTCACTTACGTTCAAAAGGTCATTCTGGAGAACAGCCTTATAAATGTGGTTCTTGTGGTGCAAAATTCAACAGGAAGGATAACTTAACTGCTCATTTACGATTGAAAAGGCACCAGTCTTGTCAGCTAATTAATGATGAGTGAAATGTGATGCATTCTTATTGCTGTTGTATTTTATTCAACTGATGTTTTGTATTGTCGTATTATTTTACTTATAACTGTTTTACCGTTTATTTATTTTCTTTGACTGTTTTTTTTTCCTTTTTGGTGTGTGTGTTGTTTTTGTAAATGTTAAATTATCCATTGATATCCAGTTTGGGAATGTATTAAAATTAAGTAATATCTAAAGGGCCATGTTAAATTGTACTTATATTTTGCCAAAGTTATAGTGCCAAATAATTTATATTTGCTAAAGAATGTATTTTAATCATTATTAAGTTTTAAGACAATCAAAGTGTTTCTAAATGTGTTTTTAGGAACTATGAATTTTTAATTGCCAATTATGAAATTGTAATATATATGTTTAAACACTTTTAAATTTGTCCTATCAATTATACTATAAGTATGTCAAAAATCGTACAAACAAAATGGAATGACTTATGCCAATTATGACATATCAGAAAATTATTGAGCTTATATTTACTTGATCTACTTACTTTGTTCTACTCAGAATGTACCTTCGTAATTCTTTTGTAATTTGAGATTTCATTAAAAAAATGTTAATACTCAGTTTCTTCTAATTTGCTTTTATCTACAACTGTCTTCTTTCCAGGATCAATAACTCCTGTGTCACAGGTCTAGGTTTCTATTCTCGGACCAGGAAAGGTTGACTCAGCCTTTCAATGCATGGCTAAAATGAGAGCCAAATATGCTTGGGTACTAAAATCTGGGTGTTCCATATACATACCCTCCAACTTATGAGGATTTTGAAAATAATTTTTTCTAGTGGTAGCGAACCAAAGTAGAAATTTTTAAAGCAAATGGATCTCTCATAAAACTTTTATCAGAACTTAAGAATCTAGCCATATGGCCTGCACTTTTATAAGTAATAGTGGACAAGTTACTCTAAAATTAATTTTTTTTTAAATATTAAGACATTAATTTTGCTACCGTCTGAAAGTAAGATTTCTGAAACTACGGAAATTCTGTAGCAGTTGGAGGGTATGCATATACAGCTGACCACCCAACTGAAGACCAATTGGAACTGCACCCCAAAGCCCTAGGTCTAGAAAACTGGGATGGGCACTAAAAGCATTGGCCCACCATGGGCTGTTATGCCTTGACAGCCCCGGGTGGGTCTTCTCAAAGAACTTTTAACACACCAGTTTTCTTCCTGCTAGTATTTTCCTATATACCTAACATTGCATGTTGTGTAAAATCTACCAAAAGCTCCAAGTAAGCTCTGAAAGCATAGTTGCTAGTTGGAATCTTGTTTTCTGCTTAAATTTCTTTATGTAAACAAACAGCCATCGTTAATCTGAAAAATATTCGTAGTATTAATTTTGTAAAGTTTCTACTTTAGAAATATTACATTATGTGAGGCAAAATAGACACTAATAAAAAAAAAACTCTCCAAGTCTCAAAAAAGTCTGAGCATGAGCATTGTGCTTAACAAGTAATTAAGATATTTAAAAATATATCTGAAAATAACATATCCTATTTTCTGTTGTTGTACTACTAGTATAGCATTTGAAACTTCGCTGAAAAATAAAATTCTAAAAAGTAAGTGTGATGTCTGGTGGCACCACCCTCAACCAAACGCGAAAAAACAAACAGAGAAGGTAGGGCTCTGATGGAGAGCGAAGGTGCAGGAAGTTTTGTTTTAGTGGTTTAATTTTCTTCAAAATTTATTTACAATTATTAATAAATGTTTTTTTTTTATGTTTCAAACTGCCATTTTTTTTGGAAGATTTATATTTTTCGGGAAGCATTGGGGTGAAGGAAAGAAGGTAAAATATACATAATATCACAGTAAAAGATTCACAGTCTGATTTTATAAAAACAAGAATTTTTATCTGAAAAGATTGAATATGTTACAAAGCTGATTTTAAGAACTCGTAAAAGATAATTGAATAAATGGTCTTTCTTATATAAAACAACTAAACGCTGATGCTAACTAAATTCTTATATAAAACAACTAAACGCTAAAAACTGATGAAATTTCTTTCTCGCACTGGCAAGACAGAGCTGCAAACTGAAATATCAAACGAATAAGTCATAAGCATGAAGAAGAAAAAAAACAGTACCTATAAATGACATACACTAGTATATATATGTTTAAACAAGCCAATATGCCTCATTAGTGGAGTTGTCAAATAAAATTATTAACAATAATTAAAGATTAACTTATTACATATTCCTACTTTTCTTAAAAAAACTTTATTAATGAAGAAAAAAAGTAAAATTAATATTTGAATATATGAAAACAGATAAGCTGTATATTTTTTCTTCTTAAGAAGACTGAATTTTTAATTCTGATCTTAACTTCTTAAAAAATAATTCGTATACTGTGTTAATAATTTCTTAAGAGGCAATTGTTTTGTACATATAAATATTTAGAATAGCTTAACTTTATGTTACGCATGTTAAATGATGTAGCTCAATTGTGTAAATTTAAAACAAACTTTTAGCTTTAATGTGGCAGTAGGTTTTTAACAGCTTGCTGAAATGGATATGCATATAAATCAAAGGTTTTACAGGATGAATATGTCTCATATTCTAATAACTTCATTTAACAAAAAAAAAAGAGTACGAGCATTCCTACAAAGCTAGATTAAAATGCGTCACTAGCTCAGAGATGCCAACTGCTCCGGACACGCCAAAATAATTAAAAAAAACGGTAAGTAACCACAGAATAAATTTTGCAAATATTTGACTATTTTTGCTTGCTTTTTTAAAGGTATAGAATGACATTAATACTATAAAGCGGCAAATTATATAAGCCTACGGATTATTTAGAAATAGTGTTGGATAAAAATCTGCTAAATTGAATTTATTAAACCAAAAATCACAATTGATAAACTACCACTTTAAAATAAATATTTGCTGTCCGGAACAAGTTGGCATCACTGCTAGCAAAGCAAACTCAGATCGCGAAGTGATCCAATATGAGAGTCGTCCAGCAGGAGCGGAGCACCCCAATTACAATTAATTCTTCTATATAATTCATAATATTTACTTTCCAATTTATGTTTTTTATTTCAACATTTTGCTTCAGTATTGTATTAAGACAAAGAATTTTAATGTTTTGTTTTTATATTTCTCAGGATATAAAATTTTAGTGGCATTTTTTTATATCTTACTATTTTTTGTAATTGGATATGTTTGAACTTTGAACATAGAAGTGAAAATAAAGTAGTTCTTACAAAATGAATGACAACAAAAGAGTTTATTTACAATATTTACAAGATTTTTTCTTCTTCATAAAACAAACAAAATAGGAATATTATACAGTAATATACTTTCGAGAGTATAAATAAACAAGGTCCAAAGCACCAGTTGATTTATAAATTAAGCATAAATTGTAGGCGATTTCTCGTCTCAGATCAAATGTATCCTGAAAATATAACATTTCTCTTTTTTATAATGCTATTACAATGATTGCCACACAAAATTTTATGCAATATGCTAAGGAATATGATACAAAGTGATTAATTCTTATGTTTACAAAATATTTAGATGTTATTCTAACTTACTGCTCTGCTGAATTATTTTAAGTTAAATTGGCTTCAATACTGATCCTAATAGTATTCACTATATAAAAGTACAATAAAAAACTTTCAATAAGTTAATTTGGTTACTATTTTTTACAGTTTACTACAAAATTCTCTCAGTAGTTATGGGAAATAGTAAGCCGTTGAATTGTAAGAATGTTATGTGATTTGATGCAATTACTATTTAGCATTTAATTTACCAAGAAATTTTGGATATTTTTCTTCTGTTGAATTCAGTGCACGATTAGAGGTTTAAAAAAAAAAATTCCTATCATTTAGAATTCTATGAAAATATCATGTCCCATTTATCTCAACTCTTTCATTGGCAGCTCTAAAATATTTAGGTAAATGATTTTGTTGCTATTCTGTTAAACTACTTTTTCTATTATTCAATGGAGATAAAACTGTTTCTATCATTCAATCGAAAAACATAGTTAAATCTAAAAACTTGTGTATGAAATTGCTGAATAAATTTCTATTTTGCTTAGTAGGTTTGGATAATTTCATATATAAATTTTAGCTTTATATTTAAGATCATGTAAGTCGAAGATTTTTTTGAAAGTTGTACCAAAATGAAATTTTATTTTAAATAAAAACAAACATACTCATAAGGAGCTAAATATTTGATTAAAACAAACTCTTAACAAGTGTATTATCTTTTTATGAAATCCAAATAAGATTTAAAACTTTAAAGCATGCCATAATTTGTTGTTACTTTTGTTACTTGCCAATACCAGCAAAGCTAGCTTGAAATCAAGCGAATTTTTAAGCAGAGGGTGCGTTTCTTATTTTTTCAGTGGGGCCATCTATGATCAGGAATACAACTTCAACCACCCACGTCACAACCCGTTTTACAAAAAGGACCCAATCATATTCCATTTATCTATCCACAGTTTGTAATTTTGACCTGAACCAGAGAACATACAAATCTTCAATTCAGTACCCCCAAAGGTATTGATTTATTAGGGGAACTTGGAGGAATTAGTGAAACCAACAGATTTGACAAGCACCAGTCACCATTTAATACACAGGGATTCTTTGGCCGGCTCTCATTCTAAAATATACAAGCTTAACCAGACAATCCTGGCAGGCTCATAATTTTTTTTACTCAAATGATTACACCTTGATTTTATAAAATTGTTTGTATGTTATATTATTTGAATGATAAAAGTTTATACTGCTTTAAAGTGAACAAAATTTTCTTAATTTATAATTTATGTTATTTCTTAATTTATATTATTTTAGATAAAGCATCTTTTTATTTCAATGGTAAGCAAAGCTTAAAACTTTATAAAACTATATAATTTTTACCTTGTCAGGTCCATTTATGAAATTTGGTGCCATCAAAGCTTTTTTATAATAATGAACAGCAAGATCTTTGATACCTGTAAGTAAAATTTTCAATTAAGAAAAATATACATTAGCTATAAATATTATGTAGTGAAAAAAATGTTAAAAGCATCAATTGTCTAACAGCTTAATTTACAAACTTAAAAAAAGAAGTAAATATATATAAATAAATCTTAATCTGCATGTAGAACACGAAATATTGCAAGTTTATATTTCACATACTTATAGAAATTAAAGATTATATAATGGAATTAGAAGAATTAAATAATATTTATAGAGCATGCTACAAACAAACACTCGTAAATATTTAGACAACTATTATTTATAGCTAATATTTATTAAAAGACATGGCATGCATGTTATATACTGAAAATAAATTTTAAAATATTGTTTTTACGATATTGGAAAATATATAGATGTTTCACAATAAAACGATACATTGCCTAACCTTACTTGATACATTTTTCTACTAGGGTTTTCAATTAATTTTTATTGTAGATATAAAATATTCAGTTAAACTATTATAAATTTATTTTAAGCGTTTATATTCAGTAAGCATTAGTAGGTAAGAAATAACACTAAATGAAATGTATTTTTTTTATAAAAATAATAAATACACATTTCATTGATTTGTGATTTTGAATTAACAAGAGAAGACTAACTTTTAAAAATTATTAAAAGAGGAAAATTAGGATACCTAATTGATGAAATGCTCTTCCTATGTTATATAATGTTTCCTGGCATTCTCCTTTCAGTTTTAAATATTTTAGGAGAAATGCAAAACCCTGAAAGAGAACAGATTTTCAAATGATAAAGTTATACCTGACATGGGACACAAAATAGTTTTCAAGCAACATTTAATAATAATTCACAAACATATATAATTTGAGTAACTGGAAATAATAGTTTAAGCTAATTGTAAGAGTGCTAGATGTGATGAATGAATTAACAATAGGTGATTAATTAATCAGAATTACCATTTTTTACTTACAAGTTAAAAAATAGAATTTTAAAGTCATTGCTCTTTTTTAGACAATCAGTTTTTTACCAATGGTATTATATAGTTTTTTAGAAATTATTTTTATTAGTAGGGTACAATATTTTGAAGAAGAAAAAGTACAACTTTTGAACAGTTTTTACATTAAATCTGATCACATATTTAAATATCCAGGTGAAAGCTTTTAGAGATAGTTTTTACCATGCAAATCGTAATTTCTGAAACTTATATATACATACAGTCAAATACTGATTATGCGTTTTTTCCCACCTTTACCAAAAATAAACAAGTTTTTCTTCTTAAAATATTTTTATTTCATTTTAGAATATTTGAAAGAGTCCCAAAAATGGCTTCTTTCGTCTCTTAATGACTTTGAAAAAAACCTTGCAGTTTGTTTCACTTAGCAAAAGAACTTCTTTTTCAAAGAGTTAGAGGAAGGAAGTGAAACATGTTTTGAAATGCTCACAAACTTAAAAAACATTTTGTCGGCGTAGGAAATGTTTTAAAACATGCTTGAAAAATGCAAAATAGTCATGCTATCATTACATCAAAAACTAAGATTAATGAAAGAAGGAAAGGGGAAAACAAAGACAGTATAGCACAGATTATGGCATTGGCACAACAATATTATCAGACTTTAAAAAGAACAGTTACAATTTTAAAGTTTGCATCAGTTTTTTCCAAAGAAGGTAACATGTCAAGTTTTGTAGACATAGATAAAGCATTATATTTTCAGTTCTAGCAAAAACGTACCCAAGGACAACCCATTTCAGACCCAATGTTGTGAGAAAATTTTTGATTTTCAATGAAGATGCAATGGTTAAGGTGAACACCAATTAGCTTAAAAACTTTGGGTAGTGTTTCAAAATTAGGGAAATTAAAGTTGGAAGTTGTTGGCTTTCATTGAAAGCACAAAGAAGTTTCTTTTTGAAATTTAAAAATCTGATCAAATTCAAAAAATGCGATGGGTAGTTCATCTGCTCAAATGGGTTCAACTTCTCTGCTCAGGAAAACATTAGCATCTGTGAATGTCTTCAACAGGAAATAAATTAAATAAACAAAGAATAACAATGCTAGTAATACAACTCTAAATCACAGTTTTAATTTGTTAGACATTGATAGTTACATACTATAGAGCGCCAGATAATCAGCGCTTAGTATATATACAGACAAAGAGGAATGTAAGAAAACAAAAGCTTGGTTTCTGTTTAAAAATATTCCATTTCCTAATGTCATAAACATTTAACTACACATTATTTGTTATAAAACGGTAAATAGAAATCGTACTGTAATGAATGTGTTTGCATCAACTTAAAAATGTGCTTATTAATGTTATAAAAACTTTTTTCTGTATTGCAGCTATCAATTTTTTTTATTTTATTTCCACCACTTATTTCAGTCAATACAAATTTTGCTTGAAAGAGCTAAAAATACACCATTTCTAAAACAATATTTTAAAACAATCAAATAATTTTGATGTATAATAATTTTCCAAATTATTTGTAGTTGGAAGAAATCTTTCTCAAAATTAAATATAGCTGTGTTTTTTTATCGTTGTATATTTATTTAATGTGTCATTTGAATACAAAAATGAACAGACAATTTTCAGATAACTGCTATAATAGCGTATATAGCAGTTTTACACAGAAGGAAAAAGAATGTAGTCAAAATTAAATTGTAATAAAAGAAAGAGTACCTGTACAGTTAACAAATGACGTTTTGTAGCAAATTTTTGGCAAGCCATATGAATGAAAGTTATGCCAACACAAAATGTTATGAATGAATCATTTGGATGCTCTTTTAAAATACACATATATTCACCTAGAAGAAAAATAGTTATTTTTAAAAACAATCAATTTGTATTTTACAATAGATCCTCTCAGTGTTAGTTCCTGCTTTTTTATGAACTTGAAGTTTCAAGCTCAGTATACGTACATGTGGACCCGCAAGTATTTCATCAAACATGTAAAATGATTGGCGCTTTAATACGCAACATGGTAAAGAAAAAGAAAAAATCTCCTTTCAAAACAGGGAAAATTAAGCACTTTTTAAAAACACTCAATAAAAAAAGCACATTTAAGGGCTTTTAAAAATCGAAAATAAGCACCTATTAAGCACTTTTTAAAAACGCTACTCACCATGTAATATGTTGCAAGGAAATTTCAGTTAAATTTTTCGCAGGCACTCAGAGAATTGATTTGTAAAAAAAGAAAAATTATCGAATTTAATTGCACAAAAATAAAAAATTTCTTCTTCCATACACATAAAATTCATGTGTGGTAGATAGTTCTCAAAATTGAAACTACTACTTTTTGCATAGAATGGTTAGTTTGAGTTATTTATTCTGAAATAGGTTGGTACAAAAAAATGCAGCATTTCTATAGTTCACAGGAAATAATTAAAAATAATTTTTAAGTATCAAGCTTATAAATTTTGTTTGAGGAAATTTATTACTAATTATCACTCAAAAATGTCAATAAATCTGCACAACAAAACTTAGTCAGGACAAAATAAAGAGGTTGTCAAAAAGAAAAGTTGACAAGTATGATGTTAGAAATACAGTAGTAAAGACAGCACCACTATTAAAGGTTATAAAGGAATGTAAGATCAGAACACGAAAGAAAAATGTAATGCAGTACAATTTCTTTACTCATGTCAGACAAAGTGCTGCACACATGTCCCAATCCATAACTCCTTAATTATCTCTTATTTCATCATGGATTGATTTCTCGCCCTAAGTCTTGGTAGATCTTATATTGATGTTCACTCTTCACAAAACTTTTACACTTTTTATTCACAGCCGTTTGTTATAAAGAGAAAAATTTTATATTAAATGCTTGCACAATTCTCACCTTCTAACACCAAGAGTATTACTGAGCATTGTTCTGTTTTAAATGCATCAAGCTAAGCAGAACTTTACATTCACTTTAAATGCTTTTATACAAACTAATAAATTAGCAATTTAGAATTTGCAGTGCATTCTGTTTAGCTTAATTTATAACCCTGGATGGTAGCTCTGCTATGGCTGCTGTATTTCTGATGCTATTACAAACATAACTTTTTATTTGGTATAAATATCAATCTTACCAAGAGCATGTTTGTAGGTTCCAGATATCATGGCATTGTGTCCATTAAAAAACCCTAAAGCTAAATGGTCTTGGTGCTGTAAAAATAGAAATTATCATAATTTGATAGACCTCAGTCAAATAAATAAGACTGCTGAGAAAATTTCCTTCCTTTTCATTAGTGGAAATTTGAACAGCTGAAGTGAAACTAATAGAATTCACAGAAGTTTCATTGCTTATTATTAAGATTACAAATAAAATAAATAATCTTTCAAGCATCTGATACAGTAAGTAGGCAACAAAATTATGTTGCTTTCTTTTTTTTAAAATTAAAATGTTAAAAAAGCTATTTTAGTAAGTTTTGTAAAAAGCTATTATTGGAGAATGATTCTTTCTTTTGTTTAATAAAAAGTTATAGCGGAAAAAAATTATTGTCAAAAACCACCAATGAAAAAATTTTTTAAAATGCATAAATAGCACTTATTATGTTTTAGAAAATAAACACTTGAATTATTTTAAAATTATTGAAATATCACAACTTAAACTAGCCAGCAGATTTTTCTAAGTATAGTAAAACCCGTAGCTATTACTACATCATGTGATTAACATAATTTACCATTAATACTGAAAATGTGTTAGATAAAGAGCGTCAAAAGGAGTGATAATATAAGTTAAATAAAAGAACAAAGGTAAAAAATAAAAAAGAATTATATAACAGAATGCACAAAAAATTATAGAAATAATTAAAAAAGTTGCTTTTATAACTTGAAATTAGAAATTGTATATTATAAATTATTTCCCTAAGATAATGTCAATTTTACACACTTCAGCAGGTAAAGAATAATAAGAAAAACTGACATAAGTAGCAGAACCTCAAATATTTATTTAATTATAAATAAATATTGGACAAATACAGATTATTTTGTAAAATGAATATACAAAGCAGGATAAAAGGAATATAAGAATATTTCCTAAAATTAGGGGTCTTATAAACAGGAGGCCACAGGCCTTATTAGTCAATGTAGTTATTATGTCCAAGTTAATAAGAAATATATATACAGTCAGACCTTGATATAAGATCATCCACATATAAGGTCACTTTTCCAAAGTCCTGGCTCACTGAATAGGAATTATTTGTTACAGATTATCGGATATATGGTCAAGTTTTAAAAATCTTTATCGCTTATAAGGTCATTTTTATCTGAGGTGAGTGAGGCTCTTTTCTAAGAAATGCCTATTTAGCTTCCTTACAAGGCAATTACCCCTCTCGAGTTCTAGGAAAATGTTGCAGTCAACGAACAAGCTACGATTTCTGAAATTGTTTCACAAGTTGTGGACAGTGAGGACAATGACCCTGAGACTGTAGCAATAAACTAAGTGGAAGCCTTCAATGCAATAAATGTCATACGGAATTTTTTTTACAAACCATGAGGGGAGCTGAGGAACATTTTGAGAAGTTACAAAATCAAGAAAACATTGTTCAAAAAATGAAACCAAAATCGAGACAGACCTGAATAAATGATTATTTTAAATAAGGTAAGATGTGATGTATGTATGTACATTTTAAAGAAATTTGTTAACAGCTTTATTTAAATTTTTTTTTTATTTTTTTAAATCTAACTTTCTTTAATTCTTCACTAATTTTGTTGAAATTTATTGACTTAAATATTTAATTTATGACCGATTGTTTTCGTTTGTATTACCATTTTTAAAAAATCATAATGTGTACTATTAAGGTACTTAGTTACGAACTGCTAATGAATTGGTTAAAAGGTCACCACGATTATAAGGTCACTTTTGCGATGTCCCTTAGGGTGACCTTATATCGAGGTCTGACTGTATATATATATTATTATTATTATTAAACATTAAGGATAAATGAAAAAAAAAGCTATAAATGATATCGTAAAATAAGCCAAAATAATCTAGACTAATATATATTTTACCTTCATCATAAGACGTAAGCAGAACTTATTGTGTCGAGTTTCTTGGTTACGATTCAATATAAGGCAAAAGAGATTCCAGACTTTGTTGTTATGAAGGTTCTTTGAAAAAAAGAGAACAATACAAATAATAACAATCAAATAAAAAAGTTAAGAAAATTTAAAAAAAAAATATAATAAAAAATTTTCATTTACCTTTAACACTAAATCTCTACAAAGCAAATATGAGAATTGAGCATTGTTGTTGTAATAACAGCTAAGGAGAGCTTGAAATTCCAGTTCCTGAAATTTTAATGAAACAATTAAAAAAAAAACCATAATAAGAGCACTCTAGAGGGAAAAAAATGATATCAAAACTATAATAGTCATTAACTTATTGATACCAAAATAATAGTTAATTCTTAGTTAAATTTTCTTAGAATAAATAAAACTTAACATCACTACTGATAATAAAAATTTGCTACTGCTAAACGTGTGGCTATTGCAACTTTTTAAAGTATTAGCATTATAAATTTATTTATCACAATAATTTATCAAAACTGTTTTCAATTAAAGTAGTAATTATCAGAAGACCATTATTTTCTTGAATGAAACTGAAGATTCTTTTAAAAATTGCAGCAAAAATTGACCAAAGACAAATCAATATCTATGTATTATCAAATTATGAAGCAAATTTATTAGACTGTACACACAAAAGATTTGCTCAATCATGGTGAACAAATTTTGATCTTAATTATATCTCTTTAAGTGAAACTTTTTTTATATTGAAAATTATAAATAAGTTATAAAATAAGTTCTTAAATTTTTTATATTCTTAAAATTGTTTTTATTAAAATTACTATTAAAAATATTTAGAAAATTCTCATTAAGTCTGCTTTTATCTAAATATGTATCAATTTATGAAAATTGAAAATTAAATTTAGCAATCCATGTTGTCAATCACCCACATATTAAAGCAGAAGCCTATTTATGGGTAAGTGCTGTAATTTTTTTTAATCAGGTTTCTATTATTTTTCAACACATGTTTACTAGTAAATCATTAATTTGTTTCAAATTAGTTTACTTGGCAAGGAATAATGAAGAGTCTGTATAAATTTGTCTCATTATTTAATTTATTATGTAATATTTTATGGCATTATTTATTACTATTATATTGTTTTTGTAAAATAATATTTATAAGTCGATAAATGAAAACTGACACTTATTCAATGTATGCATACAACACTAAACACACTTAACATTGATAAAAACACATAAAACAAAAAAATTGAAAGAATAAATTCAATTTGGAACATGATACATAACAGAAATTATCAAATTCAATTTGGGATATTTTATAGGAAAAAAATGACAGCAAAGATAATGAATTTTCTTGAAAAAAAAAAAGAGGTTAGCTTACATCTGTTTAAATTGTTGAACAAAAATTATAAAAAATGTTACACTAAAATAGTGGTTGAAAATAAGAAAGATAGTATGAAGTTCGTTAAAGATAAATGATTCCAAAAAATATAGACAATATTATTTTTTAAAAAAATGGAGGAACAACTAAAATGTTTTATAATTATTAATTTTTATAAGCTGGCAAAGTAAAGAAATAAAAGTAAGACTGCATTTGCAAAAATGCACATTTACCTTAATGTATCATAATATTGTATTGATATTGCATTGGAGTATTGATATACAAAATGAATATTATATAGACATCCTGCCTATTAGTAATAAAAATGTTACAGAACACTATATAATTAAATACTTAAATTTCATTATTATCAACCACACATTTAAAATTAGTAATAAATCTGTTTCTTCATATTTATTCACCTATGTTCTTTTGCCTATTTTGTGCATACACCACAAAATTTTTTTAACTTCATCAACACTAAAATTTGTCAATATTTTAAGCAAAATACCCTATAACAAACAAGATAATTCAACACTATATCAATTAATATTATTGGGAGAAGTTTGAAAAGTAAAACATTTTACAAACAAAGACACATACTTTTGCAAGGCCAAGTTTCTTCATAAACAAGACAGATGATAAAACCGCAAGGGAAAGATTTTGGAGGTCTTCAAAACGCTTTTTTTCTAATAACTTGTTACAAACCTAAAAACAATGAGACTTTTACAACTGCACAATATATAAACTACATAATGATAAAATAACGAAAAGGTTATAAAATGTTCAGGGAGATTCTAAGGTTTTATTATTAGATGTAGATACAAAAAGTTTATTATTAAACTAAATATGAGCAACTTTAGGATTAATGTAATGTTCATTTATATTTTGAACATAAAGTATTAGAACTTAACAAGCATAAGTGTACTATGTGCTAAATGAATAATTTAAGCATTTAGTTTAATAAGTTTGTTCCTTTGCTAATCTACTATATTTTACATTGACTTTGCTACTTTCCCATGTTTGGTAAGTTGAAAAATGACAAAGTAAAGGTTCAATAAAAATTGATGAGCCTTTTTTATAAGTTATTTATCTAAATGCTTCTATAAAGGAATTTTTTTTCATAAATTTCAGAATTTTCAAGATTCTTTGATATTTATTACATTAACTTTAAAATCCTTGATAATGTGATTGAGTGGCAATTCTGAAACATTTATCAGCTTAAAATAATAGTAAAAATAGATGAATTAAAAAAAAAAACATTTCAAAAAGTCACCTTCATTTTTTAATAATAATACAAAAAAAAAATGATCAGCAAATTAAAAATATTATTACTTTTTTAAAGATGCTATACAGTTCAGAAGCAGCAACATTTTCTCCAATCACTTCAATAGATGGTTTGTTATCTGTATGAAAATAAATTAATATCAATCACTTTTGTAATAATTTTTACATTAAGAGAATGTTAATCCTTTATTTATTTCTATGAACAAATAGCAAACACAGTAGTGTTCTTATAAAGTGCCCTACCTCTTTTCTTATGTTTTAAAATGCTTTCCGCTTTTATCAATAACTATTAATTTTAAACAATTATTATCATTTGTTGTTCTTATCATTACAGGTAGAAAAAATGTAATTTTAAAATGAAATTTAAATTTTTGTGATTGCAATTGTTTGGATAGTGCAACATAAATTTTAAAGATACTCTTGAATTTTTAAAAAAAAATTAATAATTTAAAAACTAATTATAAACATTATTGAAAAACCAAAAATGATTATTTTCACATTTGATACACAGATAATTATTTAATTATAAAGTCTCTGTTTTATGCTGCATTATATTTAAACTTTTATGAAACAGTTAGATCAATTTAAAAATTATCCAAACTTTTATGAAACATTAAGATCAATTTATAACAAATCTAAACTTTTATGAAACGATTAGAAGATAAATTTATAGCAACAAATATTTTTAAAAAAGCCTTCTAGTTATCAAATACAGCTATATTACTAATAAGCCCAGAAAAAAATGCATTCTCTCTGTATTCTTTACTGTCTAAAAACAGAAGATAAGTAGATTTTAAAATATTATAGATAATAGATAATTTATTTATACAGATTAATTTACATTATAAGTCAATTAGGGTGTGAAATTTCCATTCACCAGTTTGCCATTGTCCATTAAATATTTAAGAGTGGCAAATAAGTTTCATCTTTAAAAAAGTGAGTTTAAAACTATGTACAGTGTGCCAAAAAAAAAGGACAACCCTGAATAACTTTTGATCTAATGAGGATTCTTAAGAATTCAAGCCTAAATATGCTAATTAATAAGGGCAGACACCATTTGACATCATGAACTTTGTGCCTATTTTTTGCTAAATGTTTCTTTTTTTATTGTTTTTAAGTTATTATTTCTCGTCTTGAAATAAAATTACTTTAAAAAAAATATTTTTAATTAATTTTAAAGCAGTTTTTACCTTAAAGTATTCCTTACTAAAAATAATATAGTATAGATAAGTGAAATGAAATAATATGAAGGATAAATGTGCATAAATGGAATAAATTTCTGCTTCGATAATTTAAGATAAAAATTTAGAAAATTTGTTCGATCTTTTTATAATAATAATATATCTCATGTGTATGACAATGCTGTTTATGAATTTTACAGTAACTACAAGTTTATTTACACTTTGAAATTTATGTGTGGTTATGTGGGTTATTTATGAGTATCACAAATTTTAGAGAGTCTACTAAATGCAACAATATATGTTGTTAAAAATGAAAAAAATCAACAACCATTGTTAAACAACATTCCAAAATAACAAACAAAAATACACTTAGGTATATTGCCATTAGAGTTACAAATTTCATTATCAGAGTGAATTATTTAACGTTTATGAAATTTTTTATTTGATATGTAGAAAGGCTCTATTGATTATGAACATTAAAAATTATCCATGACAGATTTTTAAAATTTTTTTACAAATTTATTTTTAAGAAGCACTACGAGCTCATAACAGTTTTATAAATAAATCATAAAAATATATTTACTTTTTGTTTTCAATTCTCTCAGAGCTTCAATACGTCTTCTGCAAGTCTGATTCATGATTACAGCTATTAAAAAGTAAACAAAAAATTACAATTTATACTCAAGAATAACAAAATTGTAATTGATTTCTATAAAAGAGTTTTACCAATTTATTTTAGTTGAAAACTATAGATAGACTGGTTTTCCGACCCAAAGGTTGTTTTAGAAATTAACATTAAATATAATAAATCGAGAAAAAAATTTGGTTTTTTAATAGAGCAAAATTAGTGAATAAACAGTTGGCTAAGGAAGATAAATAAAATAGGAATACATGAATTATAGTAAGAGTAATTAATTTAGGAAATTTGTAATCATCTAAGGTTTAAAAAATCAAATAATAATATAATTTAAGCAATCCTGTTGATAGATAAAATATACATATAAATGGGTAATAATAAAAATTTTTGAATTTTGAAATTTTTCCAATAAATTTTTTTTTTATAAAAAAGAACTAATAATTTTTAGTTTTTAGTAACTTTGGCGATGGTTCCTCATCACCATAAGACCTCCCCATCAAAGCAAGGATCAATCAGGGGCCACAAAGTACTTTAATATTTGTACTTGAATACCAATAAAACAACTTTTAAAAAGGGCAGATGATAAAGCAAAATCAAACAAATTACATTGCATTTTCTTTTACAATTAATTTATCAATAAGATGAAATGTTGAATTCTGCTTAACGAGGAAAATGGAAGTATGATAATGATTTTTCAACAGGTATTAAGGACCCTATAAGTTAATAGTACAACAAAATAAAAGTTTTAATTATCTAATATGTTTAAACAAGTTAGCCTTAAATTCAATTCAAAGATAGTCTAAAACAATTTGAATAGTAATGAATTTTGCAGCGAAAGTATATATGGTTGCTGTAATGTGCTGAGCTTTATATTGTATTCCCACGATATTCAAAGAAAAAAAAAAGTTGAAAATTAAAATGCATCCAATATAAAATTTTAAAGATGTTTCTACTTTGTTGAGCTAACGAAATATTTTTTTTTGTTTTCTTCAAACATACAGAATATGTTTATAAAATTATTTCTTTAACATCATTAGAAAAGAACATATAAAAAACAAAAAATTAAAAGTAAAAAATTATTTAAAAGTATTTCAAACGAAAGAAATAACAAAATAAATTAAAGTTAAAAAAAAAAAAAATAATAATAAATTTAGCAACAAAGTGATATAATCTCTTTGTCAAGGCACAGGACTATATTTGCAAAAATTAGTGCTTTCTGATGCTATAATGTAGCCAAAGCAAAATTCATAATCCTCGGAGTTAACAAAGAGAATTATTTATTATTTGAATACAATTTCAATTGATATTCAATAAAATTTACCATTTTTTAAAAAGTGTTTAATGAAAAGAGTTAGAGAAAAATTTCTTTAATAGTATGTATCATACCAGTGAACTCTTCTTCTGTTTCTAAATGTTGGCAGTGGCTGTATTGTAACAAAACACCTGTAGTGATGAACTCATCCCATCGTTCTTCAGATTCTAAAAGCTTGCATCGTTGATACAATGCCTCAGCCCCCTGAAATATTTAACAAATTTAAATGAAAACAAATTTATAGAAAAATAATAATACATATTATAAATTTCATGGCTTTATTTTTATGTATGTTGTGAAATTGTATCTAAAATTCAGGAGCTGTTAGCACAGCTTAGAGCTAATGTAGTGTGTATTAATTCTAATTTTTCTGATTAAATTTTCTTGTAAATCTGTAGCAAATATATTGAAATTCATATTCATTTTTAGCTTATCTTAATTTTATATGCTCATTGATTGAACATGTTACGATCATGCTGTTATTTTTAATGAAAACAAATGCAGTTATTAAAAGTTAAAATAAAATGTTTCAAAAATCTATTTTTGTAATTATAATAATAAAATCTATTTAAACTATTTCGTTTTATGAATTGTTTCTATTTCTTGCAATTACAATTATGCCGGCCAGGTGGTCGAGAGGTTAGCATGTCTGACTGCAAAGCCAATAATCAGTCTCGAGTAATTAACATAAAGCTAAAACACATTGAATAAACAAAAAAGTAAAGGGACAACTAGTACATAATTGAACCAAGCAGCTGCCAAAGCATAAGAGAAGTGCTAAATACAAGAATAGAAGTGCAGCTTTATTCACGTTTGAGGCTACTATTGTATCACAGTGTTTAGGGTGGCTGATAGGGTCACAATGTAATACTTCTGCGGCTTCGAACCACCACATTAATATTGGAAACAGCATTCAAATTTAAGAAAATATAGTCAATAGGACTCAAAGGAGTGCATTGTCCCTTCAAAAATTTTTTTCGTTTTCCAAACTTGTTGAAAACATCAACCACTATATGAAGGAATAATTTAAGCAGAAAAGACAAATTCAACTTATTAAAAAATAAAGTTAGCTTCATTTCTTTTTTTCATATAAATTATTCACATCATATTTCAAAACTAATGCACTTTCAGTTTTTATTACTCTTAAACGGATGGGGACACAAATCAGAAAAAAATGAATGAGTATAAAATTGGTCAATATTCAACTATAGTTTAAATAACGTGCATTCATTCTGTAAAAAAATAAATGTGTTTTCTTGCTTCTTTTATTAAATTTTTTTATTGAAAACTACTTTAATAGTTTTATAAAATTTAATTGCTTAGACACCCCATTACTGAGAAACTCGTAGCTGCCAACATGGAAAGGAAAAAACCCAGGATGTCTTATAAATTGTTGAAAACTTCATGAAAACTACTGCACAACATATCAAAAATTCTACATACACAAAATTTAAGGGATTTTTACTAATCAACAACGAGAAATAAAATATAAAATTTGTATTACATTAAGAACTATAAATTAAATTGAGAAAAAAAATAAGGACCACCTAGGATTTAAATGTCTTTTGGTGAAAGAAAACATATTAATTGAATTTTGCTGTGTTAAAGTTTTAAAAGATATAATATATAAATATTACAAATTTACAAAATTCTCACAAGAATGTCCTGACTGTCAATATATACAAAAAATTATTTCATTCATTGCTTACAAAATGGTTTTCCTATTTGTTAATGTTTTTACCATTTGAAAAGATTTAAGAACATTAGTGCAACAAATTTATTGCTAAGATGTTTTCACTTAAATGTTGCTTTATGAGGTATAAAGCATTAAATTTATTATTGCTAACAAAATTCGCAACTGATACATAAGTTGCCGTAAAAAAAAGGACATGCTACCTTTGAGGGTAACTTCCTCTTAGTTTATATACCCTTCTTCAGAAATAAAATCTACACTAAAGGCCCGCCACATTCTTTCCTTCTTACTCTCGTTTTCCTCTTCTCAACACTGTTAACTTTCTAGGATTGACGTCATCTAAAGTTCAACTTGGAACAGAGCCAAAATAAATTAGAAGCTGATAACAAGAGCTATGTGAATTCAACAGTTAGCAGATTTAATTCTTCCTGAGCATTTGCTGCTTCACGATGAAAACTTAGTAGTAAAAGAACATCTTATTAAAAAAATATTCCTTTCAAACAGTTATTTTTATGTGTTTCTTTTTCAATTGTTGTTTATAAGCATTTTATTTTCACCTGTTATTTAATGAATTTTTGCTTTAAATGTGCAGTTTCATAGTATTTAGCTTTTGAGTGCTATTGCTCAACCAACAGAAAATCATTTCAAGTGGCAATGTTCGCGCACAAGTATGTGAAGCTAACTGATCTGATTCTAAGCTGATCTACTCACTCTAGCTTTCAAAAAAAATTCTCGCTCTTTCAGAAATATATGATAGTTTTTAAATATTTGGAAAACTGCAGAAAGATAATCTATATATAACACTGGGACATTAGGCACACTACTAAAATTTAGCTCAAAAGTCACATGGTGGTTGTAATATTCTTTTTTCTCTAACCATGCATTGACTTTATGGCTCTGAAACTGCAAGAGACATTATATGCTGAATTACTATTGAAACTACTTTCAGAGATGCTCAATTCAATTAATTACTCAGCATTTAGCAATGACTATTGAACCTCAGTTGAATTTCAAAGTTCTAGCAAACAGCNTGTTTTATATAGCTCAAAACACCTTTATTACATCCAGCCATTGTGTTAGCATTATCAGAACTGAATGCTATGCAACTCTCCCACTTCAGTAGATATTTTTTAAACTCTCCATCAAGAAGTTGAAAAATTCCCTCACCAGTGTTGTTAGTTGATTCAGATAAAGAAACCAGTGATGATACGATTTGTCCTTTTTCTTCATCATAATAATTAAAAATTAAAGGATATAGCTTTTTATCTGATATGTCATTGCTTCCGTCAGTGGAAAGAGAAAATAATGAGGTTCTGAGCTTACTTAGAGTACTCTCTCTTATCCCCTCAGCAGTGGAAACAGTTATTGCCTGGGTCTTGGTATGTCCACATCCATACTTTTTTGCAATGTCGGAATCTGGGAACATTTTTTTAAATAAGGCGCCAGAATGATCGGAAGCAGATAGAGAAATATTGTGCTCAATTAAAAACCGTACGAACAATACTTCAGCTTTAATCACTCCATTTTCTTCTAATTTGGAAGAATAAAAATTGTTAATAGGTTGCTGATGCACCTGTGCTTTTGCAGTAGCACAATGTTTAGGACCGATCACGTGTCGGCGACAATCATCCAGTCCACCGTGGACAATTGAGAATTCCGAACTACAAATATTGCATTTCGCAAAGCCATCTTTTCCCGATACTAAACAAGGAAACTTTTTAGTATATTCCTCTCTAAACTTTTGATTATTCTTCCTCTTCTTTCGTAATCCATCGTCATTAGAAACTTCCCGATCCTGATTAGATCTTTTCAAATAACGATCCATCACAATAAAATTTAATAATACATACACAACTTATAAACTAACGCGATAAAAGCTGGATGAAAAATAATCTAAAATTTCAAACAAAAACGTATCATTCTTTTAACATCGGAGCAGCAAAATTCAAAGTTGTTTTCAAAAATTTTTATTGAAGTCACTTCACTTCACACGGTGTAAAGCAAAAAACTAACGCAGTTTCTCAAAGACCAGCTGCATTCAGGCAGATTACAATGGCGCCGCCGATGAGTAACCCTTCATAATCACGTGGTTTCTCCCGACCAAGGCTAACAACTCATGACGTCATTTTCGGCGATACGCAATCAGTGACGTCACCATGCTTGAAAGACGACAACAGCGGAAGCGGATAGATCGGACAGGCGCTTTCGTTTAATCCGTAGTATTTTACTATTCACCCGTAGCTCCGTAGTTTATCTCCAATTTCCGTAGCAACTACGGAAATTCCGTAGCAGTTGGAGGGTATGCTTGACTGTGTGGAAGAGGATTTCAAAATCCAAAAAATATTAACTGGGGAACTATGCCAAAGAAAAGTGCAGAATGGAGGAAGGTTCTAGGGCCCACAAAGGGCTGTCATGTCAATAGAAGAATATGCATGGTCATTTAATATGAAAAAATTATAAAGATGGTAATCATAAAAAACATTAACTTTAAAATCCTTGATAATGTTGATTGAGTGGCAATTATGAAACATTTATCAGTTTAAAATAAGAGTATAAATAGATGAATTTAGAAAAAAAATATTTCAAAAAGTCATTTATATTTTCTAATAATAATACAAAAAAAAAGATCAGCAAATTAAAAATATTATTACTTTTTTAAAGATGCTATACAGTTCTGAAGCAGCAACATTTTCTCCAATCACTTCAATAGATGGTTTGTTATCTGTATGAAAATAAATTAATATCAATCACTTTTGCAATAATTCTTACATTAAGAGAATTTTAATCATTTATTAACATTCTATTAATATCACAAATAGCAAACACAGTAGTGCTCTTATAAAGTGCCCTACCTCTTTTCTTATGTTTTAAAATGCTTTCAGCCTTTATCACTAACTATTAATTTTAAACAATTATTATCATTTGGTGTTCTTATCATTACAGGTAGAAAAAATTTAATATTTAATTTTTGGGATTGCAATTGTTTGGATATCACAACAGACATTTTAAAGATTCTCTCTAATTTTTTTTTAAAAAGTTAACTTAAAAACAAATTATAAATATTATTGAAAAACCAAAAATGATTATTTTCACATTTGATACACAGATAATTACTTAATTCTAAAGTCTCTGTTTTATGCTGCATTATATCTAAACTTTTATGAAACGATTAGAAGACCAATTTATAACAACACATATTTTTAAAAAAGCCTTTTAGTTACCAAATAAAGCTATATTGCTAATAAGCACAGAAAAAAAAAACGCATTCTCTCTGTATTCTTTACAGCCTAAGAACAGAACATTAGTAGATTTTAAAGTATCATAGATAATAGATAATTTATTTATATAGATAAATTTATGCTATAAGTCAATTAGGGTGCAAAATTTCCATTCACCAGTTTGCCATTGTCCATCAAATATTTAAGAGTGGCGAATAAGTTTCAGCTTTAAAAAATTAAGTTTTAAACTATGTACAGTGTAACAAAATAAGGACAACCCTGAATAACTTTTGTCTGTTCTGATCGGTTCTTCAAGTTATAGGATTCCATCGTAATGGTTCCAGGAGAAGGCCTAAAATATGCTAATTAATTAGGGCAGACACCATGACCTTTTTGCATCTTTTTTTTGCTAAACATTTCTTTTTTATTGTTTGTAAGTTATAATTTCTTTTCTTGAAATAAAATTATTTCTGAAAAAAATAAAATAAAATTACTGTCTTGAAAAAAAATATTTTCAAATAATTTTAAAGCAGTTTTTACCTTAAAGTATTCCCTACTAAAAATAATATCGTATAGATAAGTAAAATTAAATAATAGGAAGGATAAATATGCATAAATGTAAAAAAATTTTGCTTCAATATCTTAAGATAAAAATCTCGAAAATTTGTTTAATCTTTTTATAATAATAATAATATATCTCATGTGTATGACAATGCTGTTTATGAATTTTACAGTAACTACAAGTTTATTTACACTTTGAAATTTATGTGTGTTTTTGTGAGTATCACAAATTTTAGAGAGTCTACTATATGCAACAATATATGTTGTTAAAAACAAAAACCCAACAACTATTGTTAAACAGCTCAATGAAACAGTTTTACATATAATTCATGAAAATATATTTACTTTTCGTTTTCAATTCCCTCAGAGCTTCAATACGTCTTCTGCAAGTCTGATTCATGATTACAGCTATTAAAAAGTAAACAAAAATTACAATTTATACTTAAGGATAACAAAATTATAATTAATTTCTACAAAAGAGTTTTCCCAAATTATCTTAGCTGAAAACAATAGATAGACAGGTTTTCTGACCCAAAGGTTGTTTCATAAATTAACATAATTAAATATCATAATATAACATAATTAAAATCAGAAAAAAATTTGGGTTTTTAATAGAGCAAAACTAATGAATAAACAGTTGGCTAAGGGATAGAAATAAAATAGGAATACATGAATTATAATCAGAGTAATTAATTTAGGCAATTTGTAATCTAAGGTTTAAAAAATCAAATAATAATATAATTCACACAATCCAGTTAATGGGTAAAATATACATATAAATGGGTAATAATAAAAATGTTTGAAATTCTTCAATTTAATTTTTTTTCTTTTTATGAAAAAGAACTAATAATTTTAAGTTCTTAGTAACTTTGGTGATAGGTCCTCAACACCATAAGACCTCCTCATTGAAGCAAGGATCAATCAGGGGCCACCGAAGTACTCTAATATTTGTCCTTGAATACCAATAAAAAAACTTTTAGAAATTGAATAAAAAAAGCAGATGATAAAGCAAAATCAATCAAATTACATTGTATTTTTTTTAAAATTAGGTATCAAGATGAAATGTTGAATTCTATTTAATGAGGAAAAAGAAAGTATGATAATGATTTTTTAACAAGTATTAAGAACCCTAAAAATTTTAATTATCTAATGTGCTTGATCAAGTTAGTCTAAAATTCAATTTAAAGATAGTCTATAAGAATTTGAATAGTAATGAATTTTGTAGCAAAAGTTAATTTTTTATTTAAAAACTAATACACAGTTGTTGTAATGTACTGAGCTTTATATTGCATTCCCAGGATATTCAAAGAAAGAAAAAAAATAGTTGAAAATTAAACTGCATCCAATATAAAATTTTAAAGATATTTCTACTTTGTTGAGCTAACAAAATAATTTTTTTTTGTTTTCTTCAAACATACAGAATATGTTTACGAAATTATTTTTTTAACATCATTATCACGGCATATANAAAATGAAGCTAAAAAAATTAATTTAGCAACAAAATGATATAATTTCTTTGTCAATGCACAGGACTATATCTGCAAAAATTAGTACTTTCTGATGCTATAATGTAGCCAAAGCAAAATTCATAATCCTCGGAGTTAACAAAGTTATCTTTTTGTGGTTAAATTTTGTAATTTTAAAATTTTTTCTTCACCAGTTAAAAATTTGGGAAAAGCAAGGACTAATATTCAAAGGGTTAAATTGTTAATGAAAATTTTCTAAAATAAGATCACCCATAGTTAATTATTAGAAAATAAAATGCATGCTGTGGTAAAAATGAAATTGATTTAAGATAAATTCCTAGAATTAAAAAGCAATGCATTCAGTTTCATAATTTAAAAGATAGAAAATTTCATTTTCTTAACTTCATTATCAAATACAAATGTCAATTTGTCAAAACATTTACGCAAATTTGATACAAAAAGTCAAATAAAAATAAATAATTTAAAATTTTTATTTTTATTTAATTTTGAGTGCATGGAAAGGAATTATTTATTATTTGAAAACAATTTCAATTAAATATTCAATAAAAATTTAACATTTTTACCCATGAATAGAGCTAGAGAAAAATTTCTTTAATAGTATGTATCATACCAGTGAACTCTTCTTCTGTTTCTAAATGTTGGCAGTGGCTGTATTGTAACAAAACACCTGTAGTGATGAACTCATCCCATCGTTCTTCAGATTCTAAAAGCTTGCATCGTTGATACAATGCCTCAGCCCCCTAAAATATTTAATAAATTTCAATGAAAACAAATTTGTAGAAAAGAATAATACATATTATAAATTTTATGCCTTTATTTTTACGTATGTTCTGGAATTGTACTTAAAATTCAAGAGCTGCTAGCATAGCTTAGAGCTAATATGGTGCATATTAATTCAAATTTTTCTGATTAAATTTTCTTGTAAATCTGTAGCAAATATATTGAAATTCATATTAATTTTGAGCTTATCTTAATTTTATTTGTTCATTGATTGAATGTGTTACGATCATGCTGATATTTTCAATGAAAACAAATAGATAATAAATGCAGTAATTAAAAGTTAAAATAAAATATGTTTCAAAAATCTATTTTTTCAATTGTAATTATAAAATCTATTTTAACTATTTCGTTTTAAAAAATTGTTTATGTTTCCAACAATTACAGTTATGGTGGCCGAGTGGTTAGCACGCCTAACAGAGAAGCCAATGCGGGAGTTTGAATCCCGTTTAGGGCATGGATGTTTTTCTCTGTGTCATCTTCTGTTGTGCGATGCGCGAATGTGGCCCACCCTATGAATGGGTATCTATGGCAGTGTGGTGTGGGTAATGCTGCTTGTCTCCGAGATTAAGGTTCACAGGTCCCACAGGTAATGTTAAGCAACACTCCCAGCATCTTCTAAGGCAAATGAATATAAGTTCAGTGGCTCCATAAAAAAAATTATTAAAATTTTCTATAGATAAAAAATGTTAACCAAGTAATTTTATCGACTATAACTGGTATTATACAATTTGAACCATTTAACTGCCCCCTCACAAAAACATAATTTTTTGTCAATATTTTGGGGGATGCTTAATTGGTATTTTATATATGAGTCCCAAGTAATTAACATAAAGCTAAAATACATTAAAAAAAAGAAAAGAAAATGAACAGCTAGCACATAACTAAATTAAGCAGCAGCCGAAGCATAAAAGAAGAACTAAATACAAGAATAGAAGTGCATCTTTATTCACATTTGAGGCTACTATTGTATGACAGTGTTTTGGGTGGCTGCTAGGATCGGAATGCAATACTTCTGCGGCTTTGAACAGCCACATTAATACTGGAAACAGCACTCAAATTTAAGAGAATATAGTCAATCAGACTCAAGGAGTGCATTGCCATTTCAAATTTTTTTTCCCCCAAACTTGTTGAAAACATCAACCACAATATGAAGGACTAATCTGAGCAGAAGACAAATTCAACTTAATAAAAAATAAAGTAAGCTTCATTTCTTTTATTCATACAAATTATTCACATCATATTTTAAAGCTAGTACACTTTCAGCTTTTATTACTCTTAAATGGATGGGGACACAATTCAGACAAAATACAAAACAAATTCACCAAAAAATGAATGAGAATAAAATTGGTCAACATTCAACCATAGTTCAAATAAGGTACATTCATTTTGTAAAAAATTAATGTGTTTTCTTGCTTCCTTTATAAAATTTTTTTATTGAATACCACTTTCACAATAGTTTTATAAAGTTTAATTGCTTAGACTATTATACTCCATTACTGAGAAACACGTAGCTACCAAATGGATAGGAAAAAACCCAGTATGTCTTATAAATTAATGAAAATTTCATGAAAACTATCGCACAACATATCAAAAATTACACATATACAAAATTTTAGCAATTTTTACTAATCAACAATGAGAAATAAAATATTACATTAGAAATTTTAAATTAAATTGGAAAAGAAAAGAAAACCGCCTAAGATTCAAACGTCTTTAGGTGAAAGAAAACATATTAATCAAATTTCGCCTTGTTAAAGTTTTAAAAGATATATGTATATATTACAAATTTACAAAATTCTCAGAAGAATGTCCTGACTGTCAATACATACAAAAAAAATTATTTCAGTCCTTGCTTATAAAATGGTTTTCCTATTTGTTAATGTTTTTACCATTTGAAAAGATTAAAGAAGATCAGTGCAACAAATTTCTTGCAAAGATGTTTTCATTTAAATGCTGCTTTATGTGGTAAAAAGCATTAAATTTATTATTGCTAGCAAAATTCGCAACTGATACATAAGTTGACATAAAAAAAAAGGACATGATACCTTTGAGGGTAACTTCTTCGTTTATATATGCTTCTTCAGAAATAAAAACCTGTACTGAAAGCCCCACCATATTCTTTCCTTTTTACTCTCGTTTTCCTCTTCTTAACACTGATAACTTTCTAGGATCGACGTCATCTAAAGTTCAATTTGGCACAGATACAAAATAAATTAGAAGCTGACAGCAAGAGCTATGTGAATTCTACAGTTAGCAGATGTAACTCTTTCTGTGCATTTGCTGCTTCACAAAGATAAATGAGCAGTAAAAGAAAATCTTAATATTCCTTTCCTACAATCATTTTAATGTGTTTCTTTCTCAATTGTTATTTATAAGCATTTCATTTCTCTGTTATTTAATGATTTTTTTGTCTTAAGTGTGCAGTTTCACAGGATTTAATTTTCGATTGCTAATGCTCAACCAACAGAAAATCATTTTAATTGGCAAAGTTCGCACACAAGTTTGTGAAACTAACGTATCTGATTCTAAGCTGATCTACTCACTCAAAAAATTCTCACTCTTTCAGAAATATATGATAGTGTTTACATATTTGGAATACTGCAGAAAGATAATCCATATATAACACTGGTGCATTGGGCACACTACAAAAATTTAGCTCAAAAGACAGATGGTGGTTGTAATACTCTTTCTTCCCCAACCATGCATTGACTTTATGGTGCTGAAACTGCAAGAGACATAATATTCAGAATTACTATTGAAAGCCCTTTCAGAGAATGTCCAATTCAATTAATTACTTAGTATTTAGCAATGATAATTGAACCTCAGTGATAATTAAACCTCAAATTAACCTACAAAGTGAACTTCAGTTGAATTTCAAAGTTTTAGCAAATAGCATTCACAAAAAACTTCTCTTAAAAAAATGTAGCTATTGCTATATATATTTTTGGTTTCATGTTAATGAATGTTCATGCTATTACAAATTTATGGTATAGTTTTGAAAAGGCATAAAGGGAAATTATTTAAAACTTATGCTTACCAAAACAGATAGCTCACTTCCAGATTCAAAATCTGCAATGAATGAGAGTATATATATATACATAGAGTATGATTGAATAATATGAAAAAAAGTTTCATAGCTTATAAAGATAAGAGAAATATGGAAATGGCTATATTTCATTAAGTAAGCATATCAGAACTTAAAAAAACTAGTTTCTTACCTTGTTTTAAAATGCTCATAGCCTCTTCTTTTCGGCCTAAATCTAAGAATATTTTGCTTAAAGAAAGGCGAGCATCTTGGTAGGTAGGAGACATTTGAATGACTTTTCCATAAGCATGAATGGCTGCATCAGTTTCAGATAATGCATGCAAGCAATCTGCATATTTCATCCAAACAGCAGCCTATAACAAACAATGCAATATTATACAACAAACTATATTATACGATGCAATAAATTGCAGGGTATTTTCTGATGGTTTTCCTTAATATTATATATTAGTCTATAATATTATGCAACAGACTATATAATACAATGCAATTAATTACATAATATTTTCAGGCCGTTTTAATCTAAATTTGTAGTTTATGTCCATTATTTTATTTCATAAATGGTGTATAAATAACAAATTTCCTTTCAATTTTTCTTAAAAATATTTCTACAAGTTAGATTCAATAATTAAAATTGAGCTACTAAAACCAAAAACTTTTGGCAGAAAAGTTTTAAGAGTCTCGATAGTTTGAGTCTCATAAATCTGAGATAGTGAAGAAAAAAAATCAGTCTTGCTTCCAAACAATGACCAAAGCACATGCAATGTGAGAAATGATTACTACGACTGAATGTTGAAAAACAAATTTGTGTATTAAACACTGAAACATTTAAAAAGTGTGTTGAAATAAAAAATCTTTAGACAATTATTTTAGAGTACAATTAATCTGATGCAGTAATAAAATGATTATTGTTACTTAGTGTACTGCACTAAAAATGTACCCTGATCATCTAATGTTAGTAAATTTTCTTTAAATATAATACATTTTTCAATTAATACTGAAGTTTAATAATTGCTTTGCTTCTATTTATTTAAATATATCTTAAATTTTAAGTATTCGATAATTCGAGTTTTTGAAAGTTCGAGATGGACTCAGTCCTGTCTACCTCAAATTATCGAGACTCTACTGTACATAAAAAATATTAAAAATCATTCTTTTTTTATTCTTTAGTTAAATAATATATGAGCACAAAAGAAAAAAAAATGGGTTCTAGTGTGTAATAATTATTTTGCGTAATATTTCCCAATTAGCAAAATATGTTAGTTTATTATAGTATTAAATTCAAGAATACAATTTTGGTCAGATATTAAATTAAAGAGGGTTTAATATGACATACATCAATCATTATTTGTGGATGTTTAGAATAAAAAATTTTTTTTTTTAGTTCATTAGATTTCTGGGGTTGACACACGCTTTTTGGTGAGCAAATGAATACAAGTTTAGCCTAATTTGAGCAATAGAGAGCTACAGGTATGAAAAGAACATAAGAGTTGAATTCTTACCAAGTTATATGATGAAGATGATATGAGTATTTGTAGTAATTTTTTTGCAGACTCATATTCTTTTGTTTCCATCAAAGCTTCAGCCACATCAAGAAATAAATCACCGACCTCTTCAGGATTTTCTGCTTTCAAATTTTCAAGTAAAGGCTAAAATAGGCATTTAAAGTAATTAGATTTTTAAAAGAATTCAAGGATAATAATTTAGACTATTTAAATTAGAGAGTAGAATTGAAAAGGGAAGCCGAAATCAGTGCGATTTCAGTCACTGCTTGTTTTTCTGTTACGCACTGAGTGATTCAGTGGTAAAAAGAAACAAGTTCCGGTTCACTGTCGGATATGACATCACAAGCACCTCCTTCAAAAATAAACTATCAATAATTCATAGTGCTTCAAGAAATTTTTAGTTATTTGTTTGCACAATAAAGTTTAAATGGATAACCAAAACGATTGCATTTTAGGCGCTAGTTCAATAAAATAAAACTCACTTTTTTAATGTTAAAAATTGATTCAGAAGTTGAAAACTTTCCTACTACTAAAGCCATCTTTTAAAAATGCAAAGAAAAGAAAGCGAATTAGACGGAAAAAATCAGAAAGAAACACAGCAGACACAAGAAAACTATAGAAGTAAACAAGCGCTAGATTGGCAGATGCAAAAGGTATGATCGCAAATAAGGAAAATCACCTGTGCCATGCCAGATTATTTTAAACTTTCTGAATATCCAAATTTGTCACCGATCCGCCCATTTCAGGGACAAGCTCATCATCAGTGGCGCATTCCGGTCATCACTAAGCCAGTCAGGGATACCTGAATCATCTGGATTGCAGTCTCTTACAAACAAAATATTTTTTTCTCTCCAGGGTTTTGCGTTTGAGGTACCAAGGTAACAACAGTGTATAAGCAAGTTAGTGTTGTTCAAGTTTAATTTTATTTTTAAAGTTGATGAGTAACAACTACTAAGCATTAAACAATATTAAACTACATATGTAACTACTATCATCAGTCTTTACTTTTCGTACTCATGGCAGTTTATAAGAAAATTCAATGGAAAGAATTTTAACAACATTAAACATTTTTAAACAACATTAGAAATTATTTTGTTTTCTTCACCTTATGAAAGTCATAAAATTGTTAAAGCTACAGTGTGTCATTGATTGAACTATTGATCAGAATATCATGCCTACAGTAAGTGCTTACAATTTTAAGACACGGTTTTCTCAAAAATATTTTTGCTTTGTAGTTTAACTATTTTTAAGACAATAAATATTATTTTCTGTTTGCATAAGAATTTATTCTTATATTAGAGAAAAAAAATAACCTTAGACTACAAACTAAAAAAGTTTAGTAGATCAGAAAGAAAACTGAAAAATTAAAATCGAAATGACAAGTCTGAAAATGTATAGTAAGAAATCTGAATAAAAATTTACAGTTAGAAATCTAATTATAGTTTGTCCCTGTTGCTGACCAGTGCTGAGAAACAATAACAACAAAGCAATAATAAAAAATAACTAATATGTTATATATATTTAATCCTGGTAAGTTTGAATTTAAATAATGTATGAGAATACAAGACAAAAGGGCAGAAAAAGAAAAATTCCTCTTAAAAAAGTGTGGAAAATATAAATTAAAATTCATATCTCAATTTTATAATTTATTAATTTCTTAAATCTGTTTATTTTAACAGATTAACTCTTTATAAACAGCTCCTATCCCTAATATTAAGCACTAGAATTATTTTCCATCTAAACGACTTCAAAAAAGAGGCCGATATACTCTTAAACATGTGTAACTTAATTAATCATATTCAGGATCACAAGTATTTAATTTTATTTTAAAGATCATGACCCGTACTAATTTCTTTTAAATTATAATTTTTTATTCTTTGGTAAAAAAACAGCATGGGAGTTTGATTTAAATTATATTTATCATCAATTTTCAAAATGTCACCATAATTGTTTTTTTTTTAAGAGTAATTTATTTTATTTTAGAGGTTTGCAAAAAGTAACAACTTTAGTATTCAGTCCAGCTAAGTCTCATAGTTAACCAATTTAAAACTAAATTAACAAAAAACCTTTAAAAATTTAGGAGAGTTTTTATTTGGAAGTCAAGAAAATTCTTTAAAATATTTCAGAAGTGATTTTCCTCATGTTAGCAGATATGCACCAAAGGGAAAAAACTATTGCTCAATTACTTGTTTATATCCTTAGTTTATTACTTATTATAGAAAATTTTAACTCTAAAAATAATACTAAGATTTGCTAAGATCATTTTCTAAAGAAAATAAAAACTGATGCCTTGAATTTACTGGAAATTTGAAGTTATGGTAGCCATACCTTAAATTTTATTTCTAAAGTGATGAGTCCAATATCCACTTTTCACTTTAATGAAAATATTCTTGTTTAATTAGAGCTACATTTAACAATAACAGTATTTTATTTACCATAAATGCTGCATTGGATCTTAGATGAATTATACAAATAAGGAACTTAGCAACTAAATCAATCGGGAGTTGTTCAGGAACATTACACCTGAAATAAAAGGAATACATTTAACAACTTGGCAATATATTTAAAAATGCTTTCAACCACACAGAATAAATGTAAAAAAATTACACAACCAGTAAAATTTCTCATTGGGAACATTGGTCTGCGTACAAATTAAAGTTGCAAAAGAAGAAAAAAAATTGTATCAGCATAGTTTTATTTACTTTAATATAATTTTTATTATTTAGAAGCCAATTAATATTGTTAATTTAATTTCTTCAGTTTTGTCTGATTCATTTGTAAATTTGATATTCTCCATTTGATTAAATACATATTATTTAAAAATTTATTTGTTTCATTTTGTAGTGCTGCATATTGTCAAAAATATATTTGTTTGATTTTGCATACGCTCTCTTTTTTGGAATATTTGAATAAACTGACCAAAATTCTCTCAAGTAAATATAGCTTACATCTTAGTTGTTAAACAAAGGATTTTCTCTTTTGTAGTGCCTGTTATAATTATTTAGTATTGTTTAATAAATTCTTACAGCCTTATTTTTATTTTAAGTTATGTGTACATTTCTAATAATTCACTTTCACAATGTTTAGCATTTTTTACAGCACTTTTTTTGTGTGATTTTGTGTGTCTATGTTTTTAATCTTTCTATGTTATGAAAATAAATTGAAAATTCTCATTTAAATCAAAAATAGGTATTATTATTAATTTGAATTTTTTATGGAACACATAAAATTGCCTATTAAATTGAAGAATGTTAATTGAAATGCCTGTAGATCTACAGAAATTTATTTTCTGGAACTCACTAAGTCCAGATGATTCCAAATGTTTAATTCTGAGCTGCGATGGCTCCGGGGATATAGCTAGGAGTTCCCTTGTCTTCTGGATTAGGTTCAAAATTACAAGGCTACGGAGTTGAACATCAGTAGTAGTAAACCAAAAAATGCGGTTGGCTGTTCAACGACGGTTATAAAATATAATGCTGGACTCTTGGTGGCTCAAGTGAAGGAGGGTTCCATAAGCAGATTCCATAATGCAAGGGAAATTAACAATAAGTACTTGATTCACAAAGTTAGGACTTTATCACAATTCAATTAAACATAGTTCTGCAACTATGTAACTGCCCTTTACAAAATATTCGACAATATTTAAAAAATTCTGAATAAAAAAAAGATTTAGACAGATCACTAATAATACTTAAAAAAGATTACTTTGATGAATAATTACTCTGATTGTGTTCATTCAGTATTTAATTTGTAATAAAATACCAACAATTCAGTAAGACATACTCAGCAACATCTTTAAAATCTTCATCAGTAAATTCAGCCAAGTCTTCTACAGAAACGATTAGGTCATCAGGAATTTTTAGTTTTACCTCACAGTGCTGTGCCATAGTCTAAAAATATTATTTTAACATTAAAATTGACATAGAAATTAAAATAATTAGATTTTTATTTACAAAACAACAAAATATCGACACATCATTCAGTTTATTTTAAATTTTTTTTATACAATGCAATATTTGAAAAAGTAGACAAAAATATAATAAATCAGTATTCCATTCAATTCTTCATGCATTTAATATAACCTTACGTCAAAAAAATTTCATCACACCAAAATTTTTTTTCAATGAAGTGCCACATAATGATTTATATATCATACTGATCCACATATTTTCATACTGATTTTAAGAAGTGCAGACCCACATAGTGACTTAGACTATTGAGCTATAAAATGTTAAAACATATTTATCATATACTTTTCTCTGCATTTAAAAATATTTGTTACATTAATTGTATTTTATTTCTCCCCTTTGAACATTATTTTTCTTAATAAAAAAAGGCTATGGAACTCGTGAAATTTCTTTAAGTTAAAAATGATTTCTCAACTATTTCAATTATTATCAATTAATTATAATTATTGATAACAATTACTTATAATTTTTCCTATTTTCAACTTATTGACATACTAGCAGCTAATACAGTGAAAAAATAATTGTAATGTTTTATGTTTTTCTTAACCGTATTGAGATGCTTGTCATAAATTGATGTCTAGGTTTGTTATAGGATAATGGTAGTTTCTCTAATTAAAAAATGTAACAGAAAAATAGTCAATTAAATAAAAACGTAGCTTGAATGCTGTAACATATTTAAATTGCAAAATAACAATTCAAATTGATGTTTTTTAAACATTCATGCAATAATTACAAAAAGAAAGAAGCTAGATTTATATTAAGAATAAAGTTATCCTTTAAAATATAATGTAGGAGCTCAAATAATTTTTAATATATTTTAAATAAATAACATTGAACATCTTTTATTTCTTTTAAACCTGTTAAGAATTTTTCTTTACCATCTCTTTGATTCAGTAAAACTAACCAGAACTGAGTTTGCAAAATGAAATGTAATTAGCATAATTAAATGTAATTAGCATAATCAAATGCTAATTTTAAAAGTAAACAAAAAATGCTTCAGATATTTAGATCTTTTTAGTTTGCCAAGTTTTTGATTCTTATATTATAAAAAAAAATAATAATAACCTAACACTACAAGTAAAAAAGTTTAGTTAACAGAGAGATAACTGAAAAATAAAATTTTAAATTACAAATTTGATTAAAAACTTACAGTTAAAAGTGTTAATAAAAATTCAATAAGTCTTTTAAAATTTACTAATCACATACAAAATACTAGAACTGTAAAACAATAACAAAGAGAGAATAAAAAATAACTAATATTGTAGAAATGATTATACTGGTATGGTTAATATGAGATTAATATGGTAAAATATTATACATATGAGATTGCAAAAGAAAAGAGCAGTAAAAAATTTCTTTAAAAAAAGTGTGCAAAATACAAGTTCAAATTCGAAACTGGACACTATTTTTTGATACCGTGAATTTTTGGTATTATGACATTTTTAGTGTCTTTCATCCAACTCATGCATCAAGGTTTGACAGTATATTTGGCTAAACAAATTTGAGAGGCTATATCATAGATATTTCTGAAGATCGGGTAGTTAACCGACACCACTTTACAGACTTATTATTTGCATTCTGCATTCTTATTTATACTATATATCTTTTAAAGATGATTAAGTTGATTGTTTTCCCATTTGTTTGATATGTACAAAAAGAAGATACAAAATTTATACAGCACTTACACAATACAAAAATACAATAATGTTTTCAATTACCTTAACAGCAGATTTATACATCTTCAGACCCAGTTGTAACTCAATCAGAAAATTTACATCTAAAAATGCAAAACAGTTGAAATAAGAAAAAGCAAACAAAGAAATAAACCAATAAACAAGAATTTAAGAGCGCTTTTTCATCATATGATATGACCAAATAAGATAACAATATGACGGAACAATTATATCGTTGTCAGATAGATCAGAATGTGTTTTTTAATTTGTTCGATATTGTTTGCTTGTGTCGAGAGAAAAAGAAATACTGCTGACAGTAGTGAATTGCGATTTTTTTTAAAAACATATTTATTATTAAAATTTTATATTAAAAACTTCAGGAAGTGGCAGAAAATAAAATGATTTTCCTAAAGATTTTTCAAAGCGAACTATAAAATATATTGTTGAAAACCAAATTAGTAATTGAGCTATCTATGTTTATAAAATGACAATAATGGCTAAAATGGTAAAATAAAGAAGTTTCACTCAGGGTATCTCTTTGTCCTAGTTTATAAATGAAAAAAAAAACATTTAAATAAATACAATTTTATCCTTTGCAACAGCACATTTTTAGATTAATTTTGGACTAATAGAAAATATCGCTACTATTTGATGGGATACGTGAGTGCCTGTCAGACACGTCATTTCCTGATATGATAACGCTAAGTAGGAGCCAACTAAAATACCATCGTATTGGTGAGTGTATGGGTCGCATTTTACTAAACCCTGTATTGTAACCATGTCATGTAATGAAAAAGCGGCCTAATACTAAAAGAAATACTACACCTTCAGAAGTAATCAAAGAAGGAAATTTTGTAAATGCTGTCTCCAATACTTTGACAGCATTACTGTCGTCATTATTATCATGATGCATCTATAAAAGAAATTTAAAATTAACACTGTGTAAGAAATAATGATCGGAATTAGCAAGCATAATTTTCTTTTGCCAAGGATAAAACAAAGAAACATTTATGTCAGAAAAATTATATTTAATACAATTACACTCATTAAAACTATCAAATAGTTTAAATACATATAAAATGAAAAATAAAGATAAGATGTGCACAATGTTTTATCAAAGAAAACCTGCAGAAAAATAAATTTGGTTCTCAGAAAGCCACAAAGAATCAAAAAATTTTAAACAAATTGATATGAATTTATTCATTTCCTAGCCTACTTAGACTATTAATTTGTCCTAAAAATTAAAAGGCTAAGTACACAGGAGAGATTTTTAAAATCGAAAACATCCAAAGTTTTGCCCACTTTATCTTTAATAGAATGAAAACAACTTTAATAGATTTTCACTTTTCTCAGAGGAATTTTATTATTGAATATATTCTTAATTTTTACATAAATCCATCAAATACATTTGTGTTTTGAAAATGTTCCAGTTAAAAACAATTTCCTTAAAAAAAAAAAAAATCAAACTTTTGAAAGCTGCATATTTTCTAAAACCTTGCAACAGTGCCTGTCACTTTAGAATTTTAAATCAAAAAATTTGGTGGTTTCTTCATAGTAATCAGTTTGAAAATAAATATACATTTCTTACGGTAGCTATGTATTTTTTTCCAACTAATTTTTTGTTGAAAAGCAGAGATTTCCCATAGACCATTTAAGAATTGCATTAACTAAGCCTCCCCCCCCCCAAAAAAAAAATTGTTTAACCAAAGAAAACAAACCTTTGCAATTTCTCTAGCCATATCAGCACACTTTTCACCATCTTCTGGTGAACTCAAATGTTTGATGATTAGTTCATATCCAGTCAAAGCTCTCTTTCGAACTCCCAACTGCTCATACAAATTGCATCTCTCCCACAAGTAACTGATATTACTTGGATCATTACGAAGAGCTGAAAAAAAAATAACACTCCTGAGGTAAAAATTGGAGATGTGAGTAGAGAATATAGAAGAGAGCAAGAGCATTCTTTTCCCTTCTAGATAACATAACAGGTGGGCTGAAAAGTTCGTAGGCTAACATAGAAAAAAAATTTTTTATGATAAAATTTCATTTTATTATTCAATATAGTTTCCTTCAAGGGTGATACAACGATTATAGCGGTCATATAATTTTTCGATACCATTTTTATAGTACGATTTGTCTTTAGCCTCAAAATAGGGCTTAGTTTCGGTGACTACTTCTTCATGGGCTCTAAATTTCTTTCCAGCGAGCATTCTCTTGAGGTCTGAGAACAGGAAAAAGTTGCAGGAGACCAAATCTGGAGAATACCGTGGATGCGGAAGCAATTCGAAGACCAATTTATATAATTTTGCCATCGTTTTCATTGACTTGTGACATGGTGCATTGTCTTGATGAAACAGCACTTTCGTCTTCTTCAAATGGGGCCGTTTTTCTGTGATTTCCTAGTTCAAACGCTCCAATAACACTATGTAATAGTCGATGTTGATGGTTGTTCCTTTTTCAAGATAGTCAATGAATATTAAACCATGAGCATTCCAAAATACTGATGCCGAAACTTTGACTGCTGACTTTTGCATCTTTCCAAGCTTTGGAGTTGGTTCCTCTCGTGCAGTTCACTTGCTGACTGTCGATTGAACTCCAGTGTGAAATTATGGAGCCATGTTTCACCCATTGTCATATATCGACACATAAATTCAGATTTATTACGATTAAACAGCTTCAAACACAGCTCAGAATCATCAATTCGTTGTTGTTTTTGGTCAATTGTGAGCTCGTGCGGCACCCACTTTGCCTAGAGCTTTCTCATACCCAAATATTCATTCACGATATGTCTAACACTTTCCTTTGATATCTTTAGAGTCTCAGATATTTTGATCAACTTCACTTTACGGTAATCTAAAATTATTTTGTGGACTTTTTTGATATTTTCTTCGCTAACAGCCTCTTTGGGGCGTCCACGGTGCGCATCTTCGTCGGTGTTCATTTCGCCTCGTTTAAACTTAGCAAATCACTTCTCAATGGTTGATTTTTCTGGTACAGAGTTCGAATAATGTTTCTCAAGCCAAGCCTTTGCTTCAAGAGTATTTTTTTTCGATAAAAAGCAATGCTTTATAAACACGCGAAATTCCTTTTTATCCATTGTTTTTAAACAAACAAAAGTTGCTTCACTAAAAATACTATATCTCACAAACTGTTAGTCCGACAGCTGTCAAATTTATACACGTGTCTTTCGAAGGTTAGAACTAACTAAAAATCATATGTTTTTAATAATAGTAGCCCCATCTATGTGTCAGCCTACGAACTTTTCAGCCCAACTGTTATATATATATATATACATAAATATATACACACACACATTTATAAATCACACTTATATATGAAATGAAGCTCATTTATCATTTTCAAACGGATAACAATATTATAATTATGTCTACTCACCATATAATAGATAAGATAATTTTTATTTCAAGAATTCTTGTTGAACAGTGATTAACAGATTTTATTTGAATGAATTAATGCTTTTGCTTCAAAACAAAAATATTAAAAATTCATAACAATTAAAAGTTTTTAATGTAAATTTTATTGTACAATATAATCCTCTTGAAAACTACTATTGCTGTAATAGTATAAGAACATTGAGAAATCTTACCTCGAGTATAACATGTTACTGCTTGCTTAATATCATTATGTTCTATTGATAGCTCTGCTAAACGAATCCATTCATCTGTGTCGGAGGGATTTAAAAAAGCAGCAACTAAGTAACACTACAAAAATAAATTCAAATTATATTTGTAGACTTTATCAAATCAAGGTAGTAATATTCATTATAAATAATTTATTATATTAAATAGTATTTTTGTTGTTAGGATTTTCTGTTTTTTTTTTAGCAAGTTACATTTTAAAATAATAGAAAATCAGTATTTTGTTAATAAGCTATATTTCATAAGAATAATAAATAGTATTACTTTACATTTAAATACTGATAAAAGTTTTTTCTTTTCCTTTTAAATTTGAAAAAGTAATTTGCCACTTTTGAAAAGAATATTAAAAAAGATCAAAATTATTTTCAAAGGGGTTAAAAATTTTTTTTGAATAAATCACTTGTACAAAGCAACGTCTAATTCTGAATCATTAGTTAATTTCACTGATTTCTGAAGTTGATATCATTCATTCACATTCCTCTTGAAGCTTTGTAAGGCCTTTATTATTATTTTTTTTTAAAAAATTCTTTTGCACTAGCATATTACATTATTTTGAGCAAATAACATGTTTCCTTTTAACAGAAGTGGTTAATCTCCATTTCTCAAGTTAAAAAAAAAAAGAAATAAGATTTTTTGAGCAAACAATTTTATGTTATTTAAATTAAAATTTTTTCTATATTATGTTTATAATAACAGATAAATATCTAGATTTTTTTCTATGTAATCATGCCATACAAAGGATTTTCTTATGACAGTACATTATTAAAATTTAGAAAAGAGAAAAAAAAATATGCGCATGCCTAAAAAAAACAACAACTTTATAATTGATTTTGGTTAACTGAAGCATTCAGTTAACCAAGGTTTTCCTATAATTATACGTCTAAAGTGCCATTAGCATAACAGATTGCTCACTTTCCAAGCGTATTGAGGCTAAATATCTACTCTGTTTAAGAGCCGTGGCTATAATAAAACTATGATCATAATACTTAAATAAGGTTAAAAAGCTGCTTAAAATACAAGTATTGACCTTCATATTCAACCCTTCATTGTTTCAAGAATGACTTTCACATTTATAAGAAAAGTAGCATGTAACATTTGTTTTCGTATTTTCCAAGCAATGTTAGTTGCCATTGATAATTCGCAAGTAAAACTAACACTTTCTCTAGAATAATTAAAACATGAGCATTTCATATCAATCATACATTATAGCATTTAGTAACTAATTTCAATGCATCAAACAATAACTGTTTAAAGCAGCAATTGAAGATGAAGATAGAAGAATTGCGTGAAAACTGATTCAGAGAAAAAAAAAATTTGTGTGTGGGAAGGAAGTATTTTCTCAAAGCAGGGTCCATTTTCACTGTGTATTAAATTTCCAAACAAAACCAATTTTCCACATTACCGATTTTCAAAACTTAGTAATGCTCAAAACTCAATAAATGGGGATAGAATTATCACTTGAAATATTAATTTTGTGAAAAGTGGATATAAAAAAATTGATATTGAAATGCAATGAGAGTTACAATAATCAGAAAATAATAAAAATAAAGGATACCTGAAATGCTTTACGAGCTTCTCCCAGTTCGTCATAAATTAGACCCAATGTATGAAAGGGTTCATTAGCATTAGGAGCTAGTATAGAATAATAATAAAAAAATATTAATAAACTCTTCGCTAAAATTTAAGGCAAACCTACATTTAAAAAAAGTATTACCTAATTTAATAAGTTCTAAACACATTTTTAAAGCTTCTTCAGTCTTTCCATTGGCAAAGGCTAAATTTGCAGCCCCCATCAAGCCCAAGAGGTGTTTAGGTAAAACACTTTGTTTTTTTCGGTCTTTCTAAAAATATAAATAGATAAAACTAATTACCTAAAAATAATAACTTGTGTTCTATACATTTAACAACTTCAGTTTGCATTAATACTTTTATTTTTCGAGGCTGCTTTCCAGATCCTTCAAAAATTTCAACATCCTCTTCTTGTCCTTGAGGTTTGGATTCTGTGTGATAATATAAAATAATTATAAGCAATAAAATAGCAAATAAAAATTTTATTTATGAATACCAGAGATAAAATCATCATAGTAAAATACATAAGATTGATATATAAGCATTAAGAGCAACTTTTCAACTCCAATAATCTTAACTTTTAATAAATATGCTTTGAATTTTTTTATAAAATCTTTAGTCTAAACTTCCATTTCTAAAAAATCTAACATTATAATCAAGAACTATATAAGGAGACAAGTTTATTCGTAATTCCTTCTTAGAAGGAGTTTATAAAATATATCTCAATGATTAATTTAAAACCTAAGACAATTGTCTATTTCTTTATTTTGTTTAAATAATTTAGTGACAAGCTAGAGTTTCTGATCACGATGACAAACATTTTACATCAAATTATTAAAAACCAAGTGTCTTTCAGTTCAGTTGTGGTAGCTCAGAGGGTCACTCTCCTCCTATTCAGATGATCCAGGTTCAAATCCCAGCTCAATAATATGGACATAAAATACTGACCACAGTGTGGACATAGCTCCGTTTGCTAGTTTGTTTCTATTCCTGATCCAAGAGTTCTCTCATCTTCTGGATCAGGATAAAAATTACAAGGCTATGGAGTTTAATATCGATAGTCGTAAACTCAGAATCGGGTCGACAGTCAAATGCTGGCTATAAAATAAAAATTTTTTTTTTTAATTATTTCCAAGTGGATTATTCAAAGTTTCTTTTTAAAAACACACACTATCTAACTATGATCAAACACCTAGCCTTGTTTTTCTTGGTTCTATTTTTTAATGGTCAGGGCAGGAATTCCATGTAAGTTTGATTCTAATTAGACAATGTGGACAGTGCCTGAGCGAGAACCCCAATCTCCAAATTTCCACACTGCAACGAATAAAATAACTTTTAACTACAACAGATTTAATGAGCTCAGATTGCTGCGTATACACTCCAAGTGTTTTATTGATGGTCAGGATTAAAATCATGGCCCTCAGCTTTTCTCAGGCGGTGTGAGCAACGCCTCAACCAGCTGTGCCTCCAAAGTAGTTCACTAGATATAAGAATAATACAAAATACAAAGAAATATCACATTGCCAACTTGGAAAGTGCTGTTTACCATTTTAATATCCCAAGTCTTTTAATTAAAGTATTGTTTAAAATGAATGAAGGGAAGCAACTTACCTATTTGTTTTTTGGTTTTATCTGTACAAAGTTTTTTACGAGCTGGTTGCTTAACAGAAGTTCCTTCAGCAATTTCAAACATGTCCCCAATTGAAATTTCACCTAAAATTATAAATACAAACGAAAATTTATAATTTTTTAAATCAATTATTTTAAAATAAATAAAGCCAATACATTTTTTATTCTTGGAAATACAATGTATCAGCATTGTATAACTATTTAATAAAATCAGATGTTTATAATGCACAAAGATCAAACTGATGCACACAAAAAAAAAGTCTACATACAAAAAGAAAATGCAAAAGAAAAAAGTTCATAATGCAAAAAACTATTTTCAACTTTTGTACAATATTTGCAGCAGCTAAAAACTCTGTTAACTGGGTCATGTGCCTGATTAAGAAAAATAAACTTAAAAGCTAAAATTATATATGATGGAAATTTAAGTTTTAAATTAAATAAACTAGTTGAAAATTCTTGTAAATCAGAAAGGAGTGTATTGTATGGTTAATATAAATATTAATATATACTCAATGGTTAATATAAAATATAGGCAAAGCAAATAAAGTAAAAGAAAAAAAAATTGAAAATAATTCCTAAATATTTTCAACATATTAAACGATGACATTACATCTTATTAAAATGCTGCCTGGCAATCACAACCTATATTACAACCCATTCCTTTTGATAGCTTTAGTTTGACTTCTTAAAGGAATGCTCATTTTATAAAACTCTTCTTAGTTCAAATTTATTCTCGTAACGGCATTACTAAAATATTTTTCAATCACTATTCTTTTAGGAAGACAACTTTATGTGACTATTTAAGTTTTGCATTTTTCTTGCTTATGTGCCTATATTATTCGGGATTTCTGATGTATTTTACAATTATATGTACCCAAAGAACTAGGTATTTGTGATAACATGAAAACAAATTTAATGCACAATATACATGCATGAAAGTGGACAAAAATTAAAAAAACTGAAGTTTTACAATGCAGATGCAGGGAGGTAGGGGTAAGGGAGTGTTTTATGTAATACTGTGATATCAATAAGATATATTAAAACTTAACTTCTAACTTTGCTGTGAGATTTTCATGATATATTAAAAGTGGCAAAAGCATTTAGACAGTGAAATTTAAATTTTTCATAAATATAATTTTAAAAGGCCTTTGTCCACTAGTATATTAAAAAAAAAAAATTAAGCAATACATAAGGCTTAATAAACATGATTTTAAATTAATTGCAAGTAAATAATTTTAAATTAAAACAGTCATAAACTTTTACCATAATATCTTCTGATAGATTGTTACTAGCAGTTTTAGTCACTTTGATTGTTTCATTTAACCAATTAGACTTGAATTCATTTTTTCCAGCAGCATCGTTTGTTCACACTGTTTGTTCATCTTATTGAATTGACTTACATTGTTAAAATACATTAATCTTACAATGCACCACATAAAAAGGACACAAGTAAATGCAAAACAAATATGTGCACAGACAAACACGTGAATGGCCAAAAATAAGAGCTAGCGGAGTCGAGAGAACTGTACTGCTATAAAATTGAAAAAACAACTTTAGTGCTTCACAAATGATTCCGAGAATAGTGGTTTGACAACTTTTCTCCTTCTATTGGTAATGCGATGAATGCTAAAATAGAATTTAAAAAAAACTCATGAAACAAAATCTATTTTTTCATTTTTTTTTGCAATATGTAACTTAGCATATAAAATGCCAAACATATAAAAATATTAATTTTGAATTTTTTGTTGCTAACATTGATTTTGGGGTTTTTGTAATAATTGGACCCCCCAAAAAAACTTAAGCTTTTGGAACATTGTCGGAATTGTTAAAAATTTGGAGATAAAAGCGGATTTTTGCTTTTTTGTGGAAGTCTTTCATCCCTGAATATAACAAACAAAAATGAAGAAGTTCATGAAGAAGACAACTTTTTTGGTAAAATACGAAAAAATCTTTTTCAGATTTTATTTGACTCACTACTGACAGAGACACTTCTGAATAAATACCAAAATAATTATTCGGCCTATGAACCAGATCATTAACACTAATTACTTTGTTTTAGTATTTACCCTCACTTGATTTTTTTCCATATTTATTTAAACAAAAAATTAACAAATACTTTTGAAAAAAATTCTTGCAAACTGGATTCCTGTTATCCTATATCCAGAATAAAGTTTTTTGTAATAATAATCATCTATTTAAAAAAAAANATGATAATCATCTATAAAAAAAAAAGAAAAACTTCACAATAAATGTGTGACACTAAGATTTGTTTAGTTCTAATAATTTATGACAAGGAATAAAAAAAAACTGCTTGAAATTTTTTCAAAATAATTTAAAATAAACTTAAATTGAAAACAAACTATACTCACCCCGTATGTATTTGTTGGCAGCATCATAACCCCAAGTTACTTGATCATTGCTATCTTCATCAGATTCTTCATAAATTGGTTCATTTCCATCTAACTCAACTACTTCTACATTCTATGCAATCCAAAACACAAAATATTTCAAATTACTAAATTTATAACACCATTAAATCAAACATAAAATGAATGAATAACCATAAACTTGTTTTAAAATACAGTAGAGAACCATTTATCCGGTATCCAGGTAACCGGGAAACCAGAAAACCGGGAAAAATCTTGATCAGTTTTCCCGCCATTTTAAACTAGAACTAACTATTATGAAAAAAAGCGGAAATGAACTCATCCTTGAAGTTGAGTAGAGGAAAATGTAAGGAAGGGGAGAATTTTTTTCCCCGTTTACCCAGAGAAACATCATTTCCTCCATGACCTTGAAGGCAGGGAAGGGAGGGATGTTTTATTTTCTCCTTTAGGCCGTCAATCAAGCCGTCAAGTGTTTTTATCAGCAAAAAAAAATAAATAAAAGGAGAATTGTTTATTAATTTACACATAGGATTATTTTATGAAGCAGATTGCAGTTTTGTTTTTCTGATTCCACTGCGTTTGATTTTTTTTTTCTTTTCACAATAAATTTCGCACTCAATAAATTAATTCTCTTTATTCATAAATTTTTTCATTAGGTTTTTTTTTAAAATTCCGTTGATCTTGCCTTGTTCCGGGTTTCAATATTTATGCTAGTGCCTTCTTTAACTATCGTTTCGGTTCGATAATTTTCAAGTGTTTTTATTTAGATTAATAAGTTTTCCTTTTATTTTATCGTTTCCCCCGTATAATTAGGTATGAAATATATTGCGTTATTTGATCATTGGTTTTGTTTATATTAGTAAATGTAGGAATTATAATTATTTTTAAAAAATAAATACGAAAATTTTGTATTTTTTAATCTTGTTTTTCTTGTCTAAACTTGCAAATTTTTTTATTCTTTTAAATGTTATTTTTCTACCATTTTTTTTTCTTTTTAAAGTTAGGAGTACCTTTCTTTTTTCTCTTACTTTATGCATTACACTTTTTCCTTGTAATTCGGGTTGATAAAACATCGATTAACGACACTTTTTGGTCGATCCAAAAAACCGGGAAATTCAGACATCCGGGATAGCGATGGTCCCGAGCATCCCGGATAATTGGTTCTCTATTGTACTATATTATTTTTCAGATATATACAGGATAACTCAAAATGTAACTGTTAGTAAAAATAAATCATTGATGAATCAATCAATAAAAAACAAACAAACAAAAGTATAAAAAAAAAACTAAAAAAGAACATAACAGAAGGGTATAAATCATAGAAACCCACAGGCAAATCTCTACATGCTTTTTTTAAAAAATAAACTTGCATGCTTAAAATAAATTTGGCTCCTTGACGTTTGCTTTTGGCCTAACAGCAATATAGAAATATCCCTGAAAAGATGTGAGAAAATGGATAAATAGATTTAAAAAAAAAACTATTAAAGTTGATATAGTAATTTGATTGCAATATTTTTATTCTGCTTTAGAGTCTAGATATCAGGATCCTAAGTAAACAATGACAGAATTGTAAGATAATAGGTGTCTTTATGATTCAAAGTCAAAAGAAGCCTCTAAAAAACTTCAACTTTTTAGTTTATTTAGTTCTGGTCAATTTATAGACAGAGTTAGATAAAATGTTCTGTGATCACAAAATCTCATTTAAAAAACTTACTGTGTGCATTGATTAACGATAGTAACTACCAGTTTCAATCTGTCTGTTGTCATCATTATTTTGGTGATCTTCATTTGTAAATCAGTGAATTTTTAAAATATAATAAATTTTTGTAGAACTTTATATTATAATTTATACATAGTTGAGTTTTTAAAACACCAAAAAAAAGCTGAAAATAGAAATTCAAAAATGTTGCTGCGCAAAAACTGTTTTTAAATAATTGAAAAAAATATCTGAAATTTAAGCTAGAAAAGAGTGTATATCGAAAACATTTATTCCTACAATGTTAGCAGCATCTTAATAAAAATATTCATGCAAGATTTCAATTAGTATTTGCTTAAATTGTGTGATTATGAATCGCAATGTGTGAATTTTAAATCCTGTGAGCATGAATTTCGACATTGAAATCCGAATCTCCATGTTTAATTTTAAAATAGCTATAACACGAATTTCGATGCTAGATTTTAAGATGCGAAAGTAAGTTAAAAATTACTATTATAAAAAAATAGGCCAAATGTACAAAAGAGTAGGCACTCTTTCTTACAATAAGTTAAACATGTAATAAATGTTATTCCTACTTTACAGTTATAAAATTACCAATGTTGTCACCTTTACATGTATCTTAAAATGGTATGTGAACAGTGAATGATCGGTACTTGTTATGAAAATACTTACAGTAACAACTTCCATATCGTCACAAAGTGACATAGAATTAGAACCATCACTTTCACTACCAGAATCTTCCATTCCTAAAAACTAAAAAATTTACTTTAAGTCATAGAAAAGTTATACAAGTACAATAAATTATATAAGGCGTGATCAATTTATTTATTTTACACTGTTTTGCTCTTTGTACTGTTCCCATTGCTCGACTGAAACTTCTCCTCCAATTATGGATTCCAAAAGCTCAGTTGAGGTCCCTTCTCCTGTATTAGCACTCATTTTCTAAATAATTAAACAACAAAAATATTCTAGAAATTTATCAAAAATTATTATTTAGCAAAAAATTTACAAACTAAGCTATTTTATAGCATTTAACAAACTGACGCAAGCTATAGAATAAAAAAAAGAAGAAAAAATGGACTCTATTTATTTTTTTGATTGATTGATCCAAAAGCTCATTATGCTGCTTCAGAACATGACTTTTTTTTAGCTTTAAACTTACATACATTTATTCAATGGAGCAATGCTTTCATCTAAAAGCGTCACTTAGGGACAAAATGAGAAAACAGTAAAAGAGGTTTAATGCGTTATTTTTTTAAAACTAAAAGTTTTCATCTGTGGGAAATAAAAAATAATAAAGAATCAACAAAGCTGGTTGTTTATTTGCTTATATGTTTATTTATATGCTTCATCATTTGAGGACATGCCTCATGCACTGAACTAAGTGAGGGTTTTTATATCATTTTAGGTTTAGTTCATCTAATTGAGCCAGGAAAAAGAAAATTTATTTCCAAATTTCTAATGGAGAATCCCTCGATATACTCTGTACATGATAACGAACAGTGAATGATTGACTAAATTAAATAAATTACTTTAAATAAATTATTATCAGATATTTCTGGAACTGTTTTCATTTAAAATAGTTAAAGTGTATAAAGGACATTGGTTAAAAAAATATGTGCTAGATTTGAAACTAGAAGATCCGAGGGAAATATCCAAATGGAGGCCTTTTTATTTCTTTGATTTGACTCAGACAATAAAACTTTTATAATTTTAAAGTTATTTTTAGTAGCCAAATATTTTTAAAAACTCGTTTATATGGAAGATAAGGTCTTTCTTCCCAGATACGTCAAGCATTCTATGAAATGAGAATGTCATTTTTGATTTGTTAGAGTTTTCTGAAACCTATCTCTGGTAAATGAGTTGGCAAAAAATTTTAATACCTGGTAGGTAGAGCACGTGGAGCATACCGAAAGGCGTTAACTCGAAACTATGATCACACATGATGCTTTCTAATCTTTTTGAGGTTTTTCTAAAATATTTAGTATTTTTTAATTCTTATTTCTTTTCTTAAAAAAATGTAAAATATTTGCTGGCTTAACCCCGATCCGTCTCCGCAGAAGGCATCCAGGGATTTAGTTTAAATACAATAAAACCAAAAAATTACAAAGTTCTAAACAAGTTAGAAGTGAATATGTACAAACTAAAGGTAAAATGCAACTTCTTGCACAGAATGATCTGTAAAACTTAAATATTTAAATATGAAGAGATGTCTCAACCTACAAAGCGTTTATGATTTCGATATCGATGAAAATCAATGAGCCAATATAGTGTGTTATCTAAGTGTCTTCGTCTAAGTGAAATAAGAAAATACAAACCTAGAGATGAGTCGTACAGTCAAAATTTTGAAGGATACAGATTTTAAGAAGAAGCAAACATGTCGGATGAGCACTTACAGATGAACAGAATAGCCTTTACAGTTTTCAACTCATAGGAAGCCTATTATTTAACTTGTACTTGTAAGTTTAATTTATCATCCGCCTGTTCAAAATGTTTCACGCAGCTGAAGCTTTTAGTTATAAATACCGAATGTCAAATAATATCTTAAAAATTTTCCCTGTATCTAAGCTCTAAAGATATCTAAAAAAAGTAAAAGTAACAGATAACATTTTATTTCATTTCTTTTGAATAACCAATTATTGTACTATGTCACGACAACCGAATATCAAACATCCATCCATAATCAATTGCTTATTAATATAAAACCATACCTGATAATACTTAAGAACAATCCACTTTGATATCCTATTGACGTTTTTCTAAAAAGTTTCTCCAAGCATTAAGATCCTGTGCGCCTTTTATCAATGCTTAAAGGAAATAGTTAGTTGATACAGTGGAGAAGAATAGTTGACACACTACTGCTTATAATTTAGTATCTTTGCAATGTATGTCCCATTTCTGTAAGATTATAATTGGGTTCTTGCAACTTGCAACTCGTGAATCACATGGCTGGGCTAGAGCCCCTGAATTAGAGTGTAGGAGCCTTAGGCTGGGCTAGCTTAATTACATGGTTGAGCATGATGTGTTGAGATTATTGCTATTAAGGCTTGGTTTATTATCACGCTGAATAAACTTTTGTATCAGATTTAATGGGTTACCTGCAAGCGGCGTCACGCGTGGGTAAATCATGGCATTTGTTTATGCTACGATTCAGCTGCCAATCAGGTTCGAAACATCATGCGCAACCACGTGATTAGGCCCAACCATGCGATTTCAGTGATAGTCTTCTTCCTTTCGAGTTGCAAGCATCCAACTGTATTGATCCGAATGACGTGTGTCCCGCAGTGGACTGATCGTTAAGACACGGTTCCCAGCAGATCACCGAAGTCAAGCATCACTGGCTGCGGTCAGTGTGCGGGTGGGTGACCACTCGGATCAGCCTGCGTAGGGACCGAGGGTGTGCGGTATTGGTCCTCGTTAAACTGTTCTACCGTAAAGACTTCGCGTGCAGGTCGTCGGGATACCGAAGCGGGGGTGCCAGCCCCTCTGCTGAGGATCAAAATTGTGATGACATGCCTTCGGATTATTCGCAGGGATGTTTCCCAGACCATCTCCAATGGCCCATTGTGCAACTCTAGAGCGACGTAAATGAACTACAAGAACAACAACAACAAAAGCTGAAGGATCACTCTCAGTACGCGCGATTTTATTTTGTTTGTAGAAAAATAGCAAGTGACTGAGAGCTAGAATAGTTGAAATATATTTACTAGCGAAAAACACGCCAATCAGGTTCCCGTTCGTTCTCAGGCAAAGAAATCGTATTCACTGAGAATGGCTCTTATGCAGTTTTCCTGTTCATTGGTTTAACTTTTTAAAAACTCGTTTTCGATGAAGCGCCAATAATGAATCTCTTCCGGCATTCGTAAGCGTCTGTTCACTTTCGATTGGCTTTTGATATGGCAGGGCATGGCTTTGTTTTAACTCCTATTTTTGTGGTTATTACTTTAAATTGTTGTTGCCGGTCAGGTGGCCGAGCGGTCAGCGCGCCTGACTGCGAAGCCAATGGCTGCGGGTTCGAATCCCGCTCTGGGCATGGATGTTTCTCTCTCTCGTGTTGTCCTCTGTTGTGTGTGAATGTGGCCCACCCTATAAATGGATTTGTGGCAGTGTGGCGTGGGTAATGTTGCTCGCCACCGTGGCTTTGGTATACAGGTGCCCACTGGGTAACGTGAAATGAGTAACACTTCCGGCATCTTCTAAGGCGAAGAATAAAGTTCAGTGTCTGCCATTTGAAAAAAAAACAAGCTTTAAATTGTTTAAAATTGATAAATAAATTTACAAATTAATTTTTTAATTATAATTAAAAGTAAGCTTTTTTAAATTATTGTCTGTATAAAGGTTTTTTAAGGAATGTAATAAATTATTTATTTGAATCCGAAACATGATCGTGCTGGTGCCAATTTGAACATCATTTAATTGCATAAACTCATTATTTTCTCAAATCTTCATGAAATTACACGAAAATAAGAATTTTGGGATGTTAAAAATGTTATTGGAATTGTTAAAATGTAATGGAATTGTTAAAAATGTTATTGTCGTATTAAATGATCAGCAATAATTTTTGATTTTTACGAAATGATTGTTTCCGGTAAAAATTAAGATATGTATTGTGATATTAATAAATCATTTTTTTACGAAACAAATCTTTATTTTACCCGATTTAACAGATTTCTTTTTTCATTATTTAAAATGCTCTCTATGATTAAAAAACATTTATTATTGCTTGTTTATTACATAGAACTCATTACTAGTATTATTTTTGTGGTGAATGGGTAATACATGTCTAAAAGTAATCCACAATAACAGTTCGATTTTCCTTGATGAACTTCAAATAAATCAATAAAAATCATTAATTTCTTTCTGTTTATAGTCATTTTCAGACATTTAATTATTCAGGTTTTTTTTTATGCTGATTTAATCGTAAGTTAATATATAGTGTAGGACGAGTGAAGAGGCCGGTCGAAGGTATGTTAATTCTTTTCAAAATTATCTATGTTCTCGCTATAGCTCGATAGCCGTTAATGTGCACATTATTAGTATAGTCAGCACATTAACCAGAGTGATCTGATAAAAGGCAGAGTCAAGGGTTTCCGCACTTTACCTGATGAAGTACGAAAAAGAAGAAGAAAAAAAAGATTAACCTAAATAACTTTAGATCTAATGATTGGATTTTCCCGCTCTAGGACTCATTATTAATGTTTCACAGAGGTGATCTTAAATATGCTATTAAATAAGGGTAGACAATATTTTAAGTTACGAAATCAGATGCAAAAACGTACTTTCTCTGAATAAACATACTTTTTTTTTCGTAGAATTCAGATTTTTAACACCCAAAATATAAGGGGTATCCGCCATCTGGGAAATATGGTCCCCATAGTTTTATCAGGAGAGCGGTCCAAAGTTTGGACCCCTAATTGTAATTTTATTTTTGGCGTATTTCGCCGTATCTCGAGAACTTTTTAAGCGAATTGAAAAAAATGTTTGCACACAATTATAAAAATAATTTATCTGAAGATAATTCCTTGCAAAAAATAACTATTGGCAAATATTTAGCATTTTTTATTATTTTAATTAGTAATTGTCGAAAAATTTCACGTATTAGATAGAAGTCGAAATCGGTCAAATACTTCCTGAGAAATCGAATTTTTAAAAAGTCGTATTTTTAAAATTCAATTTCTCAAGAACTAATCGACCGAGTTTGCTTAGATTCTTTTTATTTTGACATGTAAATATATATACTTAAAAATGATGTAAAAAATTTTATGTCTAACAATTTAAATTTTTTTCAATTATGTATTAGTATTTTTTTTATTATTATGAGTAAAATAATAAAAAATTTTTTTCTTTCTAAAAGTTATTTTTTGCGTGGAATTTTTCTTTGGGTAAACGAATTTCACACTTGTGTTCAAAACTTTTTCAACTCGCCTTAAGAGTTCTTGAGATATGACGAAATACGCAGAAAGTAAAATGAACATTAATTGGTAAAAATTTTGGGGCACTCTTCTGACCAAACTATGGGGACTAGGGG